AATTATTATCAGTATAGTGCATCATAGGGGATTTGGCCATAAGACTGAAGACTATTGATACTTCATCAGCTCTGTGTGAAGCTCTGTTACTCAAGTAAAATTAAAGTTAAAACACAATCTGACCAGAAAGAGCTTATTGGTTGCAATAGGTGAGCTACCATGTGTGCTTGAGCAATACTTTATTATTAGTCTGTTTATATCTCCAAAGCTCAAAATGCTCTGTTCCACCTTCTGATGTAGTAATAATTTTCAACAGCGACATTTTACCTTTATTTCAGTAGAGATTGGCAGTTCCAGGGCTGAAATTATCCAAATGTATGCAAGTGGAGCACTTCCAGTAGTACCACATGGCATCATAAGGACAGGAAGAAGAAGAACTCAGCCTGAATATGCTGGATTTGTGTGTTAAACATGTGTGACTGAAACAAAACACAACTCCAGATATGTTTATGATGAGGAAACCACATTATAACAGAGATCAGAAAATATAATATGGGACCTTTAAGACAAAATGCCAACAAATTTTGGATCATGTAAAAGGGTTTGTGAATTAATCCCTATAAATTGGTTTATTCCGAATCTCCATTAGTTATTACCACAGCAATACTTATTATTTCTGTGATATTTTATATGACACATAATCCTACATACATATACTACCTTGAAATTGACTCTTGTGAGCTTTAAGCCATGTTATAATGTTGTTACCTCATGAACTTACCTAGAGTTGTGTTTTGTTTCATTCACATATGTTTGAGTAATCCTTTATTATTAGTTTGTCTACATCTCCAAAGGTCAAAATGCTCTGTTCCTCCTTGAAACTTTTTGAAGTGGTAGTTTTCAAGTTGACAGCTACATTTACTAAGTGTTTCCTCAGCCTAAATATGCAGGGTTTTTGCGTTAAACATGTGTGAATCAAACAAAACACAACTCCAGTTATGTTTATGATGAGAAAACAACATTATAATAATATAATATGGCTCTTTAAAGACACCATAAGTCTATATACACTTTGACCTCTTCTCCAATCCAACAGAAGAAACTTGTCAAGATGAGAACATGCGGGTTTCTCCAACTCCGAGCTCTGATTCATGGTCAAGAGTAGTTGAAGTACTGAGCACCGTGAATTGCGTTGCAGAAGGAAAAAAGTTTTTGAAGTGTTCAAAAGAGAATCACAGGAAGTTTGAAAAATCCACTTTTATCGAACAAAGCGTGCCTTTCCACCATTGTGCCACCATTCATCCTCTGCTGGCAGCTATTGAAGATTTGTTTGTATTGTCAAAACTTTAAAACTCTTTTGATGCTCCCATTATCATAGTTTAGCCCTAAATGATTAAAAAGGTTTATATTCAATGAGCAGATGTCCAGGGGGATACTGCTGACAGCTAGCCATCAATCACAGCTGTCACACTCAATAGAACAACAACAATCGGATAATTCCATTTCAGACAGTGAGATCTGAGAGTCTAAAACCCTCTACTGCGGCGGCGGCGGCCTGGGGTTGCCAAGTATATTTGTTGTTTTTCAGCTTAAATTGAAGAAGGGAAAGTCTGTTTGTTTTGAAAATGGTTGAACTTCATCAGCCTGGGCTTAAAGTGCGCTATGTAACTTTTTAGTGTGGTCTGCCGCTTCGCTTTGCTTGGTGTGTTCCACAGTGTGGCATTAAATATACTGTATCTTGCATTTATATATTGGTGTTGCCTAAAAAAAGAAAAGAGAAAACAACAACTGTGAGTGGGGTCTCCTCTCCAAATATCTGACTTGTGACCTGGTGGCATCATCTGTCTGTCTCTAGAAGTAGATAAGTTTAATGCCATACTGTGGAATATTCTATGCAAAGTGCTATCATCTCAGTAACACAAACACTAGAAAAGTTACATAGTGAATTGTAGAGATGTACTATGTATAACAAAGGAAAACCATGACCAGTGTGACTGAAAATGACCTTATAATTGCTTGTCCCAATCTTTTACATAGAGGCTGTAAGTTAGATTTACTTGAGTATTGTTTGAAAAAAATCTGTCATTAAAATAATACATGAGTAATATTAAAGGGTCCATATTATGCTATTTTCTTATCTATATTATATCTATGTTATAATGTTCTTTCCTCATCAAAAAAAACATTGTTGATTAATTTACACATGTTCAAGACAAAAACTGCATATTCTTCTCTCAAATTGAAAACCCTGTTCCACCTTGTGATGACATGTGTTAATACAGGAAGTGCTCCACTGTGTTAAAACTCAATCCAGAATCATTTGGATTTTCATCTCTACTGAACTAAAGGTCAAAGTTATAATAATAATAATTAACTTTTATTTACAAAGCACTTGTAAAAACAAGATTTACAAAGTGCTGTACAAGCAGCAAAGAAGGCAAGTCAAGGCGAGTGTATTTGTATCGCACAATTCGTACACAAAGTAATTCATAGTGCTTTACAAAATAAGAAATACATTAAAATCACAATAAAAACAAATCAAAACATAAATAATCATCATAAAATTAAAGATTAAAATTAAAAAAGAGAGCGAGACATTAATTACATAAATTGGAGAGAAGAGTGCGGAATGAAAACCTTTCAGTCATATGCACAGTTAAACAGAAATGTTTTGAGCCTGGATTTAAACAGCGTCACAGAAGAGTCTGTCTCACATGTTCAGGAAGACTGTTCCAGGTTTTAGCTGCATGAATCTGAAACGCTGACTCCCCTTGTTTAGTTCTGACTCTGGGCACCAGCAGGAGGCCGGTCCCTGAGCTCCTCAGAGTGCGAGATGGTTCATATGACACTAACATGTCACAGATGTACTTTGGTGCTCGGCCATGAAGAGACTTGTACAAAGAACAATACAAAAAGTAGAAAAATAGTATGCAGAAGGCATACAAAAACAGACAATGATGCAAACAGTCCAATAAATTATAAGTTAGCTGGTAACTTGAAAACTGCCACTGCATGAAATCACAAGGTTGAACAGTGCATTTTGAGATTTGGAGATGCAGACAGACTAATAAAAAATAAAGTGTGACTCAAATGTGTTTTTGAGGAGGTAACAACATTATAACATGGCTTAAAGTTCACAAGAATCAATTTTGTACTCTAATTTCAGTAAAAGTTAGTGCCTACTCTTCCCAGTATCCCTGGTGTTTTACAGTGTTGTAGTTCACAACAGTGATTGAAATAAAATAAATAAATAAATAAATAGCTTTACAAAACTAGAACAAAGTGCAGAAAAATATCTAAAAGTCTGACAACTTGTTCAAAACATCCTGTACCAAGTCAAATGAATACTTGAATAGGCTTACTGCTGGTTTGAAATCCACCCTGTAATACCAATCACTGTAATACCCATCATTTGTACAAGAGCTGTTTCGAGTTTGAGGAACAGTACTGCACAGCCAGACTCCTTTCTCATATCAGCCAAGTTGGATACAATGGTTATATTACTGCACAACCAAGCGCCATATGCAAATGGAAATCATAACTGTGAGCAAGGCAATAATGCGACTCCTTTATGAACACTGCTGCGCTGCCCTTGAGCAAGGCACTTATCCCGCAGCTTCCATAATGATACAGCCAACACTATACAACATAATGAGGCCTTCCAGCAGTCATGGTAAACAAACACTGTTTCAGAATCTAGAATGTGATGGCGTCATACAGCCGGATCCGGAGCTGGTTTTCCCAGTTGATTACACTGTGTTTTCATAAAAAATATAAAAAAAGACAATTCACAAAACCTGATAAGTGACTAGAATAAAAAAGATACACTTTGTTTTAATGTGCCTATGACAGTTTAGACAACTCATTTTACTAAAACACATTTGAGATTATTATATTTAAGATTTTTGAAAAAACATTCACTCTCATTTTCCGAATTTGGCAATTTTTTTAGGTTTAAAAATGAACTTCTGTTTGGAAAGTCGTGACGTCGCACTGGGGAATTTCATGATTGTTACATAGCAAAACTCCTCTAATGTACACAGACATTATTATCTGTCAAATACAACATATATATATATATATATATATATATATATATATATATATATATATATATATATCAAAACCTTTATTTTGTTGAAATCATTTTTAAAGTTACAGAAAAAAATATTTCTTACATGTAAATTGTACCTCATTTTTTTAATGACAATTCTCCCCAGCGTGATGTCATCTACTTCCAGTAATTCCAATATATATTTTGGCTTCACAAATTACTTCTTGATTGGTATAATACTATAATTTACATGTGCAATAGTTATTATCCTACCAGATTAAGTTAAACATTTGAGAATCATACAAATGTGTCATAAGCACGATTGATTTTTTTTGTTTTTTCCATGTATTTGCCTCAGTGCAGATAGCAGCTCTTGAGGACAAATAAGTCTTTCAGTGTTCTGCCTACCTCTAATTATGAAATGTTTTATTGTCAGAGATTCAGGAAGTGCACACTTAGCATGCAAGTTGCTGTTAGTATTACTGCTCTGGACTCTGAAATCTGTGAAAAACTCTTAAAAACTCAGCAGTGAAGAATTAGGATGTTCAGAATTCATATGGTAAGAGAAGAATAACTAGTTTTGACAATAAAATCAGGTACATCTCCTTTAAATTGTCAATCACTATAGCAACAATCCTACTTTTTCATCGTTCTAAAACCCATAAACCCATGGACAGAATGTTATGATGCCGTCTGAAACCGGTTTTCTAATCATTTTTGTGTTTTGTTTAAAAATAGGCAGATGGCACTATGTTGGAATGGAAGTGATTTATTTTTTATTTTTTTCCGAGGAACATATTTTTCCTCAATATGACAGCCTTCCACCGTGGAATGTCACCTCTTGCCGGAACAGCTCAGAGCCATGATTGGCAGCTGCCGGGCATTTGAATAATGTATGAGAATGGTGGCACTAACGGACTCTCTCTCTCTTTTTCTCTTCCCCTCTTTCTCTCTGTCTGTCTTTCTTTCTCTCTCTTTCTCTCTCCTGTCTGTGCTTTTGTTATAGTGGGATTCCAGGGAAGAAGTGTGGAGTCATTATCTTAACAGCGGAGGAGCTCAGTAACTGTCGGGTCAGTAACACTCGCACACACAGATGCACACTTGCACGCGCACACACATATACACACTTGCACACGCACTTTACTGTCACAGCTATTTGAGTAATAGATTTCTGCTCTCTTCATGAAAAAGTTCTACCTTGATTATCTTTTTTAGAATAAATGCAAGACTTTTAGAGAAAAAAAAATAAATTTAGTTAATTATGAATCATTTTGTCCATTTCCATAGCTTGGAAGAAAAGGTCAACTGCTGCATCCCGTGCTCGGCTATAACAGGGACTCCCCAGATTAAAATGTGTGGTGTTGTCAGACATTTACACCAGGGCTGTACTTTTGGGGACTTTCGGAACTAACTTCCGACCTAATTTAACTTCTCCAATGATAATTTATGTAGATTTTTTTTGGGCTACTGGAACCGCAACCTCATTAAAAATAATTAAATACGCTTTTTCCTCTCTGCTTTCCTGATTACATATTCAGTTATATTAATACTATTTCAGATTAAAGGTGCACTATGAAACTTTCTGGTGGTATTAAATTGATCGATCTCTGCGGAGACGAGCCGTTCGTGCAACCACAGTCACAAGTTAGATCTGTAACGGAGTAAAAATGATAGATGTATAACTTTTACTAACTCTTAGTTATTAGTAAGAGTAAAAGCAATAAATTGAATGCCATACTGTGGAACTTTCCAGGCAAAGCAATAACATCTTCATGAAAACAAGGAGGTGATGGTAAAAAGTAACATACTGCAACTTCAGGTAATGTCCTAATGTCAGATAGACCTGGATTAGAATACAACAGGAGCTGTAGTAGAATTTGATGAATTAAATGCCTTTTACTATTGTACATGTATCATTTTGATGCCCAAATGTGTGCACGGATAAATGGATAATGGTTTATGTTTTAGTATGATCAGATTTTCAAATAAAAAAACTGGGATACTCTCGGTTTGTGGTGGTTGGTAATAATACAATTGTGAATCGAGTGCATAATTAAGGACTACTTTTCTGCACTCGGCCCATTCATGACTAACATGAGTCAGTATAGTCACATTGTCTTTGTGTTTTGGTCGTTTTTCAGCAGCTTTTCTGTAGAAACAAATGACAATTAATGCCTCTCTTTACTGTCAGCAGGGATCAAATTGGTCCAAAATAGGGACAACTGGGACAGATCACTGGTTTTGTATAAATCTGCTGGGACAGGGGACACAGGGCTCAAAACTGGGATTGTCCTGGGGAAATAGGGACATCTGGTCACCCTCATCTAACTGTACCTCATCTAAGGCTTACCGAGACTCTTTTATATACTAAATTTCTTGTGACCGCTAAAACTAGTAACTCTCTGGCATTTTTGTTTTGTTAGGTAGCTCACCAGAGGAAAAAGGTTGGAGAACCCTGGAATACAGTACACAGCAAAAAGTGGAGTGTTAAAATTGACTCTCACAGAATCAACTTTAACATTTTCTCAGAGTTTATATGAGTCCAATCTGTTCTAGAGTTAATTTAACATTTTTGGAAATGTTAATTAAGTTACACTGGACCAAAGTTCCTGTTTAACCCCGAAATCCAGAGTTATTTTAATGTTTTGAGAGTAAACAGATAACATTTTGTACAATTCCTGATTTAGCTAAACGCACAGAGGTGTTTTATTTTATTTATACTTTATTTTAGTTAATTTAAGATGAAATTATGAATAAAACTGGTTCAAACTGGTCTTCTCTCGCAAGAGCTTGAAGTGGTGAATGGGAGGAGCCAAATTAACACTAAGAGAAGTTGAATTAACACTAGAGGAAGTTGAATTAACCTCAACTACATCAACTCTGGCAAATAACCCCAACTTGAATCCACATTTAACTTTCAAATAGTTAAAATAACACTTTTGGTGTTAAAAACAACTCTGAAATATTTTACCCTAAAATGTTAACCCTCCAGTTTTTGCTGTGTATATGTATATGTATTGTTAAGGCAATGAAATAGGAGCAGCATTCTACTTTTACTTAGAAAATACTTTGACTATAATCCTGCAGTTTTAATGATCCAAAACTATTTCACATGGACCATTTATCCTGATGTGCCCATTTATCCTCTCACCTCAACAAAATCCTGCAACTTTCTGAACTAAAATGTGGTCCTAAGCATTCCCCGAATCCCTGTTGTGCCATAGCTGCAAAAGCAAATCTCATTACTTACAGAAACAGAGCCAAATTTATGGATGTAATGAAAGCGCATTAGCCTGGTGTTAGCCATGTTTACCTCAGTGACTGTGGGAGTTTTCAGCGCCCAGGATCTTAACGTTTTTTTTGTTTTTTTTTTCATTTAGGATAAGCGTGCGACGAGTGCGATCTGTCTGTGTGATGAGTTTAGCTTCTCCCTTGAGTAAATCCACTCCAGGCTAAAAGTAAAACACCTAATTAGTGCAGTTTGTGGGTTTGTCCTGCACCTGTCTATACTCCTGTCGGTCTCTGCTCCTGTCTGTCTGTCCCCATCTCTCTTTTCTCCTGTTGGTCTCGCCTTCACCTTCTGTCCTCCTGCCTGCCATTGTGCCAGTCTCTCCCCTCTGTCTGTCTCTCCCAGACGTGGGGACGTGCAAGTCGTGACTTGGACTCGAGTCAGACTTGAGTCACTATTTTTCAGACTTGAAACCTGATAAAAAACTTGATAAAATGGACAGAGACTTGGAACGCGACTTGGACTTGAAGGTGAATGACTTGACTTGTCTCAGACTTGAGCCCTGTGACTTGAGAAGACCTGATGCTTCTGCTAAAAAAAAATGTATGTTTTTAGAAAATACTTTTCTCTTTACAGTTGATAAATGCCTCCCACTTTTGTTCAGTACTTTAGATGGAACTGAAGTAGCCTACTGTGAGATGGTATCCTCAAATGTACTACAGTAATATACAGTACAATACAGGAATATACAGTACGATGCAGTAAAACAGAGGGAACTACAAAAAACACGATCCTTCCATTTAAGTGCAGACTACATGACAAAATAACTGATATTAAGCACTTTTAAATTTTAAATAAAAGGAAAAATTAACAATTCTACAATATAAATACCCATATATAAATATACCATGACCATTTTTACCAGTTTTACATACAATTTAGTTTAAAAGTTATATAAATAGTAAAAATCTAAGCTATATTTGGTCCTGTTTTTGGTTAGAAGACTTGAAATGACTCAAAGCAGACAACTTGGACTTGACTTGGATTTACAGGCCAGTGACTTGAGACTCGACTTGGGCTTGCATGTCTTTGACTTGGGACTTGGAACTTACTCGAGACTTGCAAAACAATGACTTGGTCCCATCTCATCCCATCTTGGTCCATTTTCTCCTCACCCTGTCAACATGTCTGTCCCTTTGTCTGTCTCTCCTCCCCCTGTATCTCCCCATGTCTGTCTCTCCTCTCTCTGTTTGTCCCTGTTTTCTCTTTTCTCCCTGTCTGTTTCACCTTCCCCCTCTATCTCTCCTCTCCCTGTTTCTCATCTATCTGTCTGTCCTCTCTGTCCCTCTCTTTGTCCCCTCTGTGACTCTGTCTCACTTTCCTCCTCCTGTCTTTCCCCCCTGCCTGTCTCTCCTACCCCTGTGTGTCCCTCTGCTTATCTCTTCTCTTCCCTCTCTATCTCTCCTCCCTCTGTGTGTCTTTTTTCCTATCACCATGTCTCTTCCCTTGGTAGTCCTGCCTTCACCTGTCCCCCGGCCAGTCTCTCCTCCCCATCAGTCCTCACCCTGTCTCTCCTCTCTCTGTTTGTTCTCCCCGTCCCTCTTTGTCCCCTGTTTGTCTCTCTATCGCTTTCCTCCCCCTGTCTTTCCCCCTGCCTGTCTGTCCTCCTTCTGTCTCTCCTCTACCTGTCTGTCCCTCTGCTTTTTTCTCTTCTCTCTGTCTCTCCCTCCGTCTCTGTCCCTTGTCTGTCTCTCCGCCTCCTGGCTTTCACTTGGTCTGACTCACTCTCCCTTTCTCTGTCATTCTACCTGTCTCTTCTCCCCCTGCCAGCCTCCCTGTCTCTCTCTCCTATCCAAGTCTTTTCCTCTGTCTGTCTCTCCTCTCCCTCTCTCTGTCCCCTTTCCAGCTCTTCTCCCTCCATCTGTCCTTCTGCCTGTCTCTCCTCCTCCCGTCTCTTTCCCTCTCTTTCTCTGTCCCCTTTCTGTGTGTCCTTCCAGTCCCTCTCTCTGTCCGTCTCCTCCCCATCTGTCTCTACTCTCCCCATATGTCATTCTGCATGTCTCCTCTCCCCTCATCTGTCTCTCCACCCTCTGTCTTTCCCCCTATATATCTCCCCTCCCCCTGCCAGTCCCGCTGTCTCTCTCCTCCCCTGCCTGTCCCTGTCTGTCCGTCCTCTGTGGCGTCCTCATTAACAGCTGTACTCAGAGCTGCATACATATGGATGAGGCAATCCCACGTCTCTGCAACTCTTACATAAGAACCACTTCCTCATAAAGTGTAATTTAAATCTAAAGCTGGAGCACTCTTATGGATGCTATCTGCTCAAATTATGCTTTAGCTTACCTGCTGTTGACAAGATGTATTTGAGTGTAGAATAAATAAAGAGCCCTGAACACCAAAGAAGCATGTTTAATGAAATAACGTCTGTAACGTAAAGGTAAGGGCACTTGTTAATTAGTATTAGCCACCACAAGCAAATGTACAAATGAAAAACAACTGGCAAAGTGGCCCCATCATGATTAAAGGTTTTATATTACGCTATTTTCTGATCTGTGTTATAACATTTCCTCATAAAAAACATGCCTGGAGTTGTGTTTTATGTCATTCACACACAAACCCTGCATATTTAAGCTGAGTTCTTCTCTTAAGCGCTGTGTTTTAAACTCCGTACACCTTCACTAGAATCATTTAGATAATTTCAGACAGGATATTGCCAATTTCTCCAAAAGTTAAGGTAAAAGGAAGCTGTAGCTGTTAATGTAAAAACTTTTGCTTTATGACGCTACAAGGCAGAGGCGGGGATTTGCAAGTTGTGACTTGGACTTGACTTGAGTCACTATTTTTAGGACTTGAGACTTGACTTGATAAAATGGACTAAGAGGTGGGATTTGACTTGGACTTGAAGGTGACTTGAGAAAACTTACAAATCTGAATTCTTTCTGACCGTAATGATTCACACTAAGATCTTGTTGAGACATTTAAAAAAAGAAAAATGTAAATTTCTACAACTCTTATATACTGTATAAATACTCATATATAAATATACTATGATTGTTTGAAGTGCAATTTAGTTTAAAATTCATGTAAATTGCAAACATGTAAACTGTATTTGGTACTTTGGTTTAAAGACTTGGACTTGACTTGGACTTGACTTGGATTTATGGGCCAGTGACTCAAGACTTGACTTGGACTTGCCTGTATTTGACTTGGGACTTGACTCGGACTTGAGGTCAAAGACTTGAGACTTACTTGAGACTTTCAAAATGATTTGGTCCCACCTCTACATTTTGAGCTTTGGAAATGTAGACAGACAAATAGTAAAAGGTTACCCAAACGTGTGAAAGAGACAAAACACAACTCCTGATATGTTTTTGATGAAGTAACAACGTTCTAACATGGCTTAAAGCTCACAAGAATCCACTTTGCATAATACAGGACCTTTAAACATAATAATAACAAAGCTTTGTTATAACCTGTAACCGAGTGATTGCGATTTATTTGTTGCAATATGAGCAAAAATGTATTCCAAAAAAAATATATATAAAATCTACATTCAGATTCTAAAGTTGTCTTAATGGTCCCTTCCAGTAGTGACATGTTTAGAACAGCTGTGCACACAGTGTGGTACAGATAATATCATTCTTTCCCATTCAATTTAATAGGATAACCAAATAAGGCTGTGATGTTTGTTTGCGAACACTAACTCCCCTAGTTTTAAATCGCATTAGACTCGAGCTACTGCACTGAATGGTCCCCTATGGAATACAGTATATGCATTCTGGGGAAGTCAACTGAGTTGCCACTGGAACAAATTCTAATTAAAGGGCCTGTATCACACTATTTTTTTGATCTATGTTATAATGTCCTCATCACAAACAGACCTGGATTTGTGTTTTGTTTTATTCACACATGTTTAACACACAAATCCTGTATATTTAGGCTTTGGAGTCGTTCTCTCAAACTGCAAACACTCTGTTCCACCTTGTGATGTCATGTGATAATATAAGAAGTGCTCCACAGTTTTTGAATACACCACTAGAATGATTTGGATGATTTCAGGCCTGGAATTTTTGTTCTCTACTAAACAAAAGGTAAAAGAAGCTGTTAATGTGAAAACTAACACTTCATGACATCAGTGTTACTCAAAGACATGTGAATGTAACAAAACACAACTCTGTATATGTTTTTGATGAGGTAACAACATTATAGCATGGCTTAAAGCTCACAAGAGTCAATTTTGTGTAATACCGGACCTTTAACATTACATTTATTTGCGTGGGTATTTGCATGACTCAACAATTTGTTCCAATTCAGATTATTTTATTTTTAAATGATTAGCAGCACACAACTCACCAAGTGCAGTATCACCACCGTACACAGTGAGCAGTAAACAAGTTGCAGAGTTAAAAATGAGGTTGCGTCAGCGGCGGATTGAGCTGATGTGAGATAACTGTGTGTGTGTGTGTGTGTGTGTGTGTCTGTGCAGGATATCGCCACCATGCAGCTGTGCGCCAACAAACTGGACAAAAAGGACTTCTTTGGAAAGTCCGACCCCTTCCTGGTTTTCTACCGAAGCAATGAGGATGGAACGTGAGTTGGAAGCTGTTTTATCACTGTTTTCTAATATTATTGGTGACTAAGAAAGCCTGAGTCTAATCACAATTTATGCACATGCTATTGTCTAATATTGGTTTAGGAACACGTAAAATATATTAGCTTTTTCTGAGAGTTACGCTTAAATGCAGCGGTGTAGTGGGCATGGTACACGGTTTTACGCCATCCACCCACTTCTCCCAACGTGAAATAAAAAAATAACAAATAATAAATAACTTCAACTGCATAGGCTCATGATATATGCAGTATAGTCACCTGCGACATGAGGGACCAGGACTGAACCAGGACTGAGACTATGTTTATATGATGACTGTCTGAACAGAACACGCAAAAGTGGCGTCGCGTCTTCACTTTTTATTCCGCGTTTAGATGAGCATTTACAGGAGGAAATCTGTGTGCATACGGTGACGCAAAGGTGTGTGGAATTTGATTGGGTACGCATGCCAGGCAGCTAGGTGGTGATGTATGTGACGTAAACACGTACATACGACGTGAGCAGATCTGACCAGAGTTTGGCATCTTGGGCAGTGTAGACAGAAACGCTACGGCAGAGCGTATTCAACTTTTCCACTCTAGAGGATGGTTTCAGATTTTTGTGTTTTTAAGCCCCAAAAATGCCATCACCGTCTAAACGAATGGCACTTTTGATAAAATATTTTGTCATTTTTACCCGCAAGCGTTTTCATGTAAACAGGCCCTGAGTGTTTGTACTGGCCTGGAGGTGCGCCCGTGTAGACCTTCGGGTGACCGCGGGCGAAAGGACCAGTGCAGAGCTCCGGAGTTCTCTCTGTTTCTCTCAAGTCCAAGTTCAGTCCAGGTTTAGTCTTGCTTAAGACCTGGTTTACACCTGGTTTAGTCCTGGTTTAGTCCTGGTTCAGACCTGGTTTAGCCCTCCTGGTTCAATCTTGGTTAATGTGTTGTAACCTATGATTTAATTTCTGTAGGTGATTATGAACTCCATTAATGTAACATGATTCCCCATCATTTTGAGTAAAAAAAAACTAAACAAAAAATCAATTATTACTAATTTATTACGTCATGAATTGTGTACCCCAACTTAAAAAATCCCCACTAGACCACTGCTTAAATGTGATTGGTTAAATCTACCTCTATCAATAGGAACAGTGGAATAAAATCAAGCCATTTTTGGCCCTATCTTAAGATTTTGCATTATTTAAAGAAAACCTTTTGTGCATGTGTCTGCCATACAGTTATAATGTATGACACCTTTAGATCAGTACGTTATAATGTCAATATTAAATGACAATAGTCATCTAAAACAATTTAATAAAAGCTTCCATGTTAGAAAACTGTGGTGCCAAATGGGAGAGGAGAAATTACTTCAACATGGTTAAAAAATGAGCAGATTTTGTGTTTCCCCCAGAGTATATTTGATTGTAAAAGCAGTGACTAAATGAGACTGCTGTTCCCTGTCTATTAAAGTAGTTACATTTCTTGTCAACTTGAAAGTAAGCCCCAAAAGCAGTGCTCTGATTGGCTGTGCACGCGCCCAAAAATGAATACATGTGGATATTAACGATGTCCCAAAGGGTTTGTGAGAGTTAGAGATGAGAAGACCAAAGATTTAAATCCTTACTTCTTCCTTTTTGTGAAGTGAAAATCCAGTATCCCTGCTTTTAATGATATTCTTAACAGTCTAACTAACACAAGAAAGCCTATAATTTCCTTGGGACTGCAAATAACACTGCGCTGTCTAGTTCTATATCTTCCATGCTCTTCATTTGGCTAATGTATCTGTACTTGCAGCATGTAACGTTCTTTGATAACGATTCCCTTATCCCATTATACCGTTCAATGCTCAGACTTTAACGCCTGCCTTATGAGCTTTTGCCTGAAAAGTAATTCCATCTTTTTAGTGAAGTAGTCTGTCAGTTTCTCCGCACATCTGCCTCCCATAGAGTCCAATCTAAATTTAGGATTATTACTTCCTCCGAGTGATGCACCCTGCAATAACAATATGTTTGGAAATAAAAGTCCATCATTTCCAAGAAGAGAGAGTTGATAGAAGCAGTCGTCATGGAGATAGACTGATGCTTATGTTGTGTGTGGACAGGTTCACCATCTGCCATAAGACCGAGGTGATCAAGAACACGCTGAACCCAGTGTGGCAGCCCTTCACGATCCCAGTGCGAGCGCTGTGCAACGGAGACTACGACAGGTGGGAACGCTCAATATAGATTTGAACAGAGTCCAAGCAGAGACTGTATAAAGACGTTACAACATAGCAAAATAAAAACACCAGGATCATGTAAAGCGGGTTAATACTAGGGGTGTGCAAAAATATTGATATATTGTATCGTTTAATGTGATGATACAATATCAATATTGAGGACCGCTGTATCGATATTTCGCCAAGAGTATTTTTTGGTATATTTTACTAAATTATTTTGTTACAGTGCTACAGTTTTGTTACTTGTTTAGTGCAGCATTCCCAAACCATTTTTGCGCTACGGATTGGTTTAATGTCAGACAATATTTTTATGAACCGACCTTTAAGGTGTGGCGGATAAATACGACAAAATAAAATGATTCGACCAACAGAGAAACTGTGGTATTTTGTAAATATAGTAATAAATGTTTCCAAAGATGTCTGTTTTTTACTCATTTTGCAGCTTGTGAGTTTAATAATTTAGCGTTAATGTATAACGTGACTATCATGCGTCCAGAGTGAGTCATAGACAGATGTAATTTTTCTGTCATTTTTCAAAATAAAACATTATTCAGACTGTAAGTTATTTATTCTTTCTGTACAGCCCAGTACCAAATGACCCACAGACTGGTTGGCTGGTTTAGAGGAAGGAAGCTCATTTATGCAACACATTTGACATTTTCACTGTTCTGATGATTAAAATGTTTGTGTTTCATATGAACTTTGCACAAGAAGTGGTTTAAGAAAAGCTTTTCGTATCACAGCCATGATTTAGCCTTTATTTTATATTGAACTGTATCAAATCGATTTGAAATATATCGTATCGAACCAAAAGTGCACTGTATCAAGATATGTATTGTATCATGGCCTATGAATCGAGGTATGTATTGTATCATCAACTTTTTACTGATACCCAGCCCTAGTTAATACGGACAGTTTAAGAGCAAAATGATGAGACTCACAGCAGCAGTTACAGAGAGAAGGGTGACAATTTTTATTTTATTTTTTTCAATTTAAAGTCAATTGGAAACAGTGTAATGGAGCCCCCTATGCTCACTTCCTATTTGAAACACCATGGCAACACCTATGTCCATTTACACAGAGAAAGTCTATACTATGTCCTTTATATACAGTCTATAGTGTTCGGCTTCAGTCCAATGAAACTCATCAAGGCTGGCACTTACAGGGGTGACTTTGAATAAATGCACTGTGTGACATTTTCTGAGTACTCCAGTCTCAAACAGAGGACATTACATGATTACTTACCTTACCCATTACTTAACCACGCACTTCGACAAAAAAGGATCTGAAGATGTATCTAAAGGGTGTGACTGACACGTGGATCAACCAATCAGAGAATCGCATGCTCTGTTCTGGTATAAACAAAGGACTGAGAAGCACAAATCAAAGCATTAAACTGTTATTTATCTCGGGTAAAAGAACATTTGAGAGAAGCGTGATACAAATTAGCAGCTGTGGTTGGATCATTTCTAGTCAGGACAGAGGTTTTTCACATGGCTGGTCTGGGAACATGCATGAATCAATCAAAATACAACTATGGTTAAGTTAATTATGAAAGGAAACCATTATAATATGGTTAAAATCTCATAAAAGTCTATTCTGCATGATATGCCGCCTTTAAAAATAGTAACAATTCATGAACTAGAATCTGCTCATATGAGGCACGAGTGATACATGAGAAACGGCAGAGACAGTTGTGCACAAAAATGTCTAGCATATTTTATTCATAGGACCATATGATTGAAGTTTATAATGAACAGCCTTTCTCTGCTGGAGCCCTTTAACAAAGACCGTACCACTCTACTATGGACTGTTGTATGATTAATGAACATCGCCTACATTCAGACGTGGGGAATCCTCTCGGTCCAAGTGCACGGGGAGAACCAATCAGACGTGTCCTCCGTGCGGTGACATCATCAGTTGCCGGGGCAATCAGAATAATGCCAGCAGTCGGTCTTGATGTGTAAAGGACCAGCACTGGTGTTATTGAGATTGACCCGGTCTCCCACGGCAACGGGGTAAATACAAAATGTAAACTGTGAAAAGTAATTGCTCGTATTTATATAGCACATTTCTCTTACATATATACTCTATACTGTGCACTCAGATCACATCAGGGAACCACTCACCCACACACGTCCATGAATCTGTGTGCACTGGGTTTGAACCACCCACCTTTTTGTTATTGGGTAAAAGCTTCACCAACAGCGCTCCGGATCTCCTGCTGAAGTACAATGAGCACCTAAGTAGTTTTAAAAGGTTAAAAATGTAATCAAAAAGTGTATAAATCATTCAAAACAGAACAAAAAAAAAACCAAAAAAAAAACCCACTTATGAAGAAGAAAACAGCACTGTTAAAGGATCTGTATCTGATTGAATCCGTTCATTTGTTCATTAGTTTTTCAAAATATAACCAAAAATAAGAAAATGAAAAAACAACTATTTTCTTCATTGTTTGTCTCCAAAACCAAAATGAAAAAACGGATAACGATTCATTTTTTTCAGTTTTTGATTTTGTGTTTAAATGTATAATGGAAAAAATGGACAAGAACCGTTTCCTGTTTCCGTGACTTAAACTGCGATGCTGGACTTTTGTGATGCATACGGACTGAACCAGGACTTAAACAGGACTGAGTGTTGGGATGGGCCTGGAGGTGCGCCCGTGTAGACTATTGGGTGACCAGGACAGAGACCGGGACAGAGACCGGGACAGAGACTGGGACCAGACCAGGACAAGATCAGGACTGTGACTAGGGCTGAGAACGGGACCAGACCGGGACCAGACTGGGACAAGATCAGGACTGAAACTGGGTATGAGACCTGGATCAGACTGGGAACAGACCGGGACTGAGACCGGGAAAAGACCGGGACCAGACCAGGACTCAGACTGGTTTAGATCTGGTTTAGACTTGGTTTAGTCCTGGTTAAGGACTTAACATATCCGGCATCACAGTTTAAGTCACAAAAACGGAAACGGCCGTTATCCGGTTTTCCATTACTCATTCAAACACAAAATCAAAAACTGAAAAAAAAATTTTTTTTTTTTAAATCGTTTTTTCATTTTGATTTTGGAGACAAAGAATGAAGAAGAAAAAAAAAAGTGTGAATATATATATATATATATATATATATATATATATATATATATATATATATATATATATATATATATATATATATACACATAATGTTTTGTTTTGTTTTTTTTTTGAAAAACGAATGAATGAATGACATAAGGATTTGATTTTGACGTACTCTTGTCATTACAGCTTGCATCGTATAGTAAAAGCTGTTATGTAAGAAAAGGAAACATTTGAGACTTTAAAATACTGAAGCGACTGACAGGAGTTACCATTTTTTCATCCAATCAGGCACATTGTTACTAAGAATCAGGGGAAACCAACTGCCTGACATTACCCGAGACTCTTGATTCTCTGTCATTGTGCATTTTCAATAGTGACAAAATGGGAAAATAGTAGCTAGATATTGGGGAACTCTAAAGAAACTAATGACATGACGTTTGCGAATGAGTCAACTCTTTTGAACGTGAACAGTTGGAATTGGAGATCTTCTTTTTTTTTTTTTTTTTTAAAGAACCTTTTAAAAAAATTTTGGCATGTTAATATTAATTGAAGATAAGAATTAGCACAGAAGCAGAGTAAGCAACATGAGGGAGAGCTTTGTCCATAAAAAAAACAAAACAAAACAAAAAACATATTTGGTATCATAATAACATTTAGTTTTATTTTTTAATTATTATATTATTATTATTATTTTAGTGCAACATTTTATTTAGGTCATGCATAATTTGAAAGTCTAAAAAAAGAACAAAAAAAACAAAACACTGTCACTCTCACTTTGAACCATTTTAAACAAATCTCAGCATTGGACATTTCTCTCTTTAGCTCAAATGAGTTTTCACATTGACTTTTGTCTTAAAGGGACCTTATTTTCTAGTGAGTCAGAGTGTTGGAGACGTGTGGAGACACTTTTTAAAATATTCCATCCAGTTCTTGTATTTGCAGAGGTCCCTGGTGCATGGCCATAGTTATCCTGCGACTATAAACAGTCTTACCCACTCCACAAAAACACCCGAAGTAAATCTATTATCATATCAGACTGTTGATGTAAATGTCTGTGTTGACAGAATAATGTTTGAAATAAAACTAACCTTGCATCGCATGAATCATTGCATGTTGAGGGACTATATCTCAGCAGCAGCAAAATTTTACTTTACCGGTAAGATAGATGCTAGATGATATCAGTCCGCCTCTGCCAAGCTTTCTATCAGGAAGTACAACTCGCTGCTGCTGCTCAGACATAAATTCTTCAAGATCCTTCAGAGCAAGGAAATTCATTTAAGACAATACACACCCTGGATTCCACCTGTTCATCCTGTTGCCTTCTGGCATCCGCTTCAGGTAAATTCCAGCTTGGACCAGTAGACTGAGGGACAGCTTCTTCCCCAAAGCTGTCACCATACTGAATGAGAACTGTTAATTTGTTTTATTTATTTTGTGTAATTCTTGCACTTTGACGGAGCAGCTCTGAATTTCATTATACTGTGTAATGACAATAAAAGCTTTCTAGCCTATTCTATTCCATTCTATTCAAATGTAAGTTTGGTTTTACTTCTAAAATTATTATCTTGACACAGACATTCACAGTGACAGTCTGGCGTTATAAATGTTTTGCTTCGGGTGTTTTATGGAGTGAGTTAGTGTTAGGTTAACTATGGCCATTGACATGCACTAGCCTAGCACCAGCGACCTCTGCAAATACAAGTACTGGATGAAATATTTTAAAAAGTTTCTCCAACACTTTGGCTCACTAGGAAATGAGGTCCTATGTCCCTTTAAAGGTGCATTGTGTAACTTTTTTGGTGGAGGATCTGTCAAATACTTTTCGTTATTGCTTTGGAATGTTACACAGTATCTTATTAAACCTTTCTATAATCATGGAGACCAAACCAGGCCAAGTTACAGGTCAGATCTGTGGATAGGCAACCCACACACAGTCAAAATGTGTGTTTTCTAGGTAGTTTTGAGTATAATAGAAACACCTGTAGTTGAATAAATATAAAGTAGACAATGACATATCCATAGAAACAAGCAGGTGACAGATCTCCAACCAAAAAATTACATAGGTGCATCTTTAATAAATGCATAAAGTCTTTTGAACATCTTTTTGGATTATGTAACTAGGTCCAAAAGGCTCAAAAGTTCACAAAAGAGCCAAAAGTTCCATAACTAAAGGCAACAACATGTCTGACACTATCGACGGTGAGTTGTTTCTGAGTCATGGCGCAACATCTCCGCATCAGAAAGGACTACGTGGCAGGGCCTAAATATTCAAACTAACTTCACACCTAAGTTCTTCAAGTTCTTGCCTCATGATCTGAAATCCGCTACAGGCCCTTTAACTCGAACCTTTCTATTCTCAAAGTTGATTCATGTGTCTCTCCCGTCACTTTTAATAACACTGAGACATTTATACTTCAAACAGGCAGAGAAAAAATAGAAGCTCATTATTTAGAGTTGCCTGCCGTCATCAGTCTGTCATTTTTGATGAGTCATAGAAGCACCATTACAAATACGCCAATCTGGAAACTTTGTCGAGACCAAACTAAAAGTTCACTGCAGCTGTTGTATTAAATTAGCCCTTGAGACGAAGTTCCAGTTGCACTTTTTACATTGCTGAGTAACTTCCTGAAACAGCTGGACACATTATGAAGGCATATAACTGCAGGTCTCATGACAATCAGCCCTAATAGTGTTATTATATTCCCACTGTGTTAATGATTGTGCCTAATGATTTCCTCTAAAGGACTGTGGAGTTATGTTAGCACTAGTTTTTAGCAATCTGATTTTGGTGCAGATCGGAAATATCCAATTAACATGTTTTAAAGGTGCACTGGTAGAGGGTCTTTCACTGGAATGTTCCACAGTGTGAAGCTCTACCTTACACTGATTTAATTAAAACTCAAAAATACCTAGAAAAACAGACATTCTGACTGTGAGTGGGGTCTCCACAGATCTGACCTGTAATTTGGTCCAGTTTGGTCTCCATGAAGATAGAAAGATTTAATTCCAGACCGTGAAACAACCAGACAAAGCAATAACATCTCCATAGAGAAAAGCATTTGACAGATCCTACACCAGAAAAGTTACACAATGCACCTTTAAGTTATGTAAACATGTAAAATATGATGTTCTAAATCAGACTCAGGTCCGGGGTCCAAATTTGGCTTGTGATATAATTATATTTGGCCCAAGAGATCACATCAAATATGTATTAGAGCTGCCATTATTTATTTAAAATTTTGTTAGTATTTTACATAATGCTTGTTCTGGATTCAATGTTTAAGCAAAACTATTATTAAACATGTATTTAATAAGAAAAGGTTTAACATTACATATCTCGAAAGAAGATAAAACATGCAGATGTTGGTGAAATTTTTCAATAAATATTTAGTTTGGCCCACGACTTAGTCCCAGTTTTTTATTTTGGGCCTCTGTGAATTTAAGTTTGACACCCCTGATTTACACACATTTTATCACACTGAATATTAAGTGTCTAGCATAAGAAACACAAAAACAAACTGTGGACTTAAAAAAAACATACACCCAAGTATGTATTTGAAGTTACCTGGGCAGCCAAGACCACACACTTTGACAAAACCTTACAAAACTTGACCATTGCGTGAGGGTCTTTAACTGATTTCAGACAGGAATGATTGACAGGTGGATTAACCAAATGCTTATTCATGTCAAAACACACAGGATAATACAGAGGATTGAGAAACAAGCTGGTCAGGCAATATTTGATGAGAAAATGACATATCATGGTTGTATACTCATTTTAAAGCTTGTGGAACATTGTTTATTGATGAAAAAAATAGTAATAACTATAGAGGGACAGAGGAGCTCATTCTCCAACAGGCTCAAACAGTGATAGATACAGGACTACATTTATACTATAATACTCCCTACAACTGTACAACAACTCACCCTTAATAGATAACTCTGTGTCCTGTCAATCATCATTTCCTTACAACCTTTTATTACTTATTTTCTATTTTATTTTTACTTGCACTTATACATTTATAAGTGCTTTCCTTTTTGGTATTTATTTAGAATTTATTGTCACCGTTTTTATTTTTTTACTCTTTGTTAAGTAAAGTCTAAGAATATTTTGTTTTGTTTTGTGTTGCAGGACGGTGAAAGTGGACGTGTACGACTGGGACAGAGATGGAAGGTAGGACTCGGCGTATGGACAGGCTCTGAGAGAATGATTCACTCTGGTGTGACTTTTACCTAACGCAGAGTGGGCGAAAGTTTGGGCAGAACATGAAGAAGAGAGACAGGTGTAGGCAGGTGCTGACAGACTGGCAGGGACAGATATGCAGAGAGAAAAGAGAAGTGATTTGTCTGAATATATTTGGTTTTGATTTGGTCTGTGTGTGTCTACAGTCATGATTTCATCGGGGAGTTCACCACCAGCTACAGAGAACTATCCCGGGGCCAAAACCAGTTCAACGTCTATGAGGTCAGACATTTGTATTTTTGGACCTGAACTATTTCTGCAACACACCCTATATTTACACGCACACCAAACTCTGATCGTTGGGTGGTACAAATTTTCACAAGACGAGACATGAGATGAGGTTCACAAGAAGAAGACAAGATAAGATTTTGAAATAATCTACAATAATCTGATCCGGTTATAATGTTTACATACACACTAAACTCTGATCATTGAGTAGAAGTTTCACAAGATGAGACACGAGATGGGGTCCACGAGAGCGAAACGAGATAAGATTTTGGAATCATTTACGATAATCTGATCAAATTAAGTCAAATTAAGTGTTTTTAATATCCTAGATGTACTGCATACTGTATATAAAGGTAGTGCATGAATAAATGTGCATTGTGGAGGGTACTTTAAATATTTTGACATTATTGCTTTGTCTGGAATGTTTCACAGTATGGCATTAAACCTTTCTATCATCATGGAGACCAAACCAGACCAAGTTACATGTCAGATCTATGGAGAGGCAACCCTGCTTGCAGTCAGAATACCTGTTTTTCTAGGTATTTTCCAGCTATAAAACTATCTCTCATTGAATAAATATAAAGTAGAACTGTTTTCTGTCATACTATGGAACATTCCAGGCAGGTCTGTGACATCCCCATAGAAACAAGCAGACGATGGACCCCTAACCAAAAAGTTACATGGTGCACCTTTAAACACACAGGCCTGTTTAAACACCTGTGTAAATCTCCACATGCATCACTACTTATTTTATTTTTACAGCATCCTCAATATACAATATATCTGTTACACTTATTTTTTATTATTTTAATGATTAGACTAAAGCTGGACCGCCTGAAGGATGGACTTATAAATAGGAGATAAATAATGTCTAAAACTTCCATTCCTTTTCAAAGATAGATTGTCTTTCCTAACTTGGATTGTCCTTCCTAACTTTCCTAAATAGCCTTTTAAATCTCCTCTCAAACCATTTATTTTCCTTGGCTATGATCTGTACCTCAACGTACATTGCCTCATAAGTCTTCAAGGAGTAGACCACATTGCTTTGTGTGTGACTCGAGGTTTTTGACAGAATATATATATATTTTTTTTGCTATGGATCTTACCTGGATGATTGAGGGATCACACAAACATTATTGGAACAAAACTAAATTTAATTTAATATGAAGACTAATGCATTTGTCACATAAAAGAGCAAACAACAAAAACATTATTATCACTTAAATCTTAATAACATTTGAAAATATTTGACAGATTCAGTTAGACTTGGATGAGATGTTCGGCGTGCATATTTTCCTCCAAAAGTTTCCAAATTTCATTTTATCTAATTTCCTCTCCAAATAATTTCATGCAAATTGTCATTTTTTCTTTCTCACCTCTACAATTTCCTCCGCACCTTTTCATCATTTTCAACTTTGATCATTTTCCACATTTTAAAAAGTGGCTTCATCGCCAGCTGCAAACGCTAACAGCTTCTGGCAGCTTTCTCCTTCAAAAAGTGTCCATATTATTTATATTTTCTGCTTTTCTGTTTTACAAAGGTGAACATTTCAAAGTAGAAAATGAGAGGTTTGTGTCATAAAACATCGTAACTGCCAGCATTTCACTTCTGATCCCAGACAAAAGACCGGTACTGTACATATGACAGGTGGCAGCTGCATCAAAGCTTTTATTGTTTAGTAAATTCTCCACCGAATGAGTCCACGGTGTGAATAGATGATTAAAGGCAGATGCTGTCATGAATATAAAGCTTACGTGAGAATGTGGACATGGACTTTGTGGCTCAATTTATGTTTTAAAAGTCCAGATTGTTGAACTTAATGAAGCTTCGGGGGTGTCATTAGATGGAAATGAAGCCTCAGAGCTGTTCCACTAAGACTTTACAAATTCTGTTGAATTGTATTGGTGGGTTTCAAATGTCTTCACTACTTTCTATAAGCCAGTAATGTTTTATACATATGGGGGCAGCTAGAATTAATGTTGTTAAAGTCGCAAGGTCTTGGGTTTAGTCAGTAATATAAAGTTTAAATTCAACATCTGTGAATATAACTTATGGATATTTGATGGCAAAGTACAATGTAATCAATGGAAGGGAAAAAAACAAACAAGCAAAAAAAAAACCTAACAGCATAAATATGCATATACCAAATCAAAATGGTAATAATAATAATAATAATTTTAAGTAAGTAAGTAAGTAAGTCTTTATTAATATAGCACTTTTCACAGACATGCCACAAAGACTTTACAGAGCATTTTTTATCGATCCATTATTCTTTTTTTTTTTTTTTTTTTTTTTTTTTAATTAGAATAATATGAAAAAATAATACTACATTTTATTTATATAGTGCTTTTCAGGTAGCCAGGCTGGTGTCACCTAGTGCCTCCGCTCAATTTCATTTCTCTCCAGCGACTAGGTCAGGAATTGGAATACACTAGACGTTTGCAAGAACCCCGGAAGTTGTCGCTCACCGGTCAATCAGGGAAGAGCTGTGAAGACATGATGTCAAACTCAAGCGCCTGTCTGGGTCCCTTTTGTGGTACAGCACAACAGTAACCAAAGCGGTCGAGATGGATGTAAACGAAGCCATACATTCTGTGTTGGCAACGATTCCCGAGATCGAGGATTTAAAGCCGGAACAGAGAGAAACAGAGAGAAAGAGAATGTTTAGTGAATTTTATAAAGGGGAAAGATGTTATTGCCCTTCTTCCTACGGGATTTGGCGCATTACATACTTCACGACCAAATAGCAGCGATTGGTGAAGTAAAAAAAGTACCCGCCTACCGTTGAGTGAACAAATCCTAATGCTGCGAGGTCAGACGATCTCTACGAGGTGAATCAGGCTACTTTTCAGGACCCTCAAAGATGCTTTACACATATTAAACACATATTAAAACAGTCAAAAGAGCAATAAGCAAATAATACAGTAAACTTAAAAACAGTGAATCATAATGAAACATAGATGTGTGTAACAATAATCTAATTTTATGGTATAATAGTATATTGGTATTACAGAAATGCTGCTTATACCTGGACTCTCATAATACAAATTGTGTTTAAGTGTTTGCATATTATGTAAAATTACCCTCGAGAGCTTTTAACCATGGTTTCTCCTCACTGACTGTAAGTGACTCATGCACGCGTGAGTGATCTTAATTGTCCTGCATTCGAGGCTCTGAAAATCCCCATTTTCACTGACCTCCCCATACACACCCAATGCTCTGTCCTTACTTTGCCTTTTGAATATCTTTTGAAAATGGTAACACAAGGAGGGTTTGTCTGTTTGTTTTTGTGAGAACATTCAAAGTGACGTACCAAAATGTAAATACCATGAGCTGGGGATCATTTTAACATCTCTAGTGAAATAATGAAATCAACATAAACAGCAATGAGCAAAGTAAAAATAAATTAAAAGGAGGCAAGGCCACATTTCAAGACCAAGTATTGTTAACAACATTTAATCCATTGTTCTCTCTAATTTATGCCTTTGCAGCATCAGATAAGCGAGCGATTAATTAATCCTTTGTAAATTCGAACACAGACCGCGCTATAGACTCTTAATGACCAAATCTATAGCTGCTTTTTCATCAGAGAAATACAAGTACGAGATGGGACTCCCTGATGAGGCTGTTTATGAGACCCACCAAACAGATCGAGCCCACAATGTGAAGGGACAGTCTAATCTGCTCACCTGAGTCCATTTTCTCTCCCCCTCCTCCCCTCCTCTCTTCTCTCTCACAAAACGCCATCCTCCACGACCTATTGAATAATTCATGTTCATTATTAAACACCGGGCCAAGGTATGAAGTGCCTCTACAAGTGCCCACTCAATCAGACTTTGCTCTGTCTCCCCGCAGGTTTTGAATCCCAAGAAAAAAGGCAAAAAGAAGAAATATATTAATTCTGGGACGGTGAGTAAATTTGCAGCTTGTTTTGTCATTTTGGGGCACTCTGCAGCGAAGGCAAATAAGGCCTGTGTTTGAAGAGCTGCAAACACTTTACTGATCAGGCATTACATTATGACCACCTGTCGTAGAAACTGATGCATGTATTCTTAAAACCTATAGTGCATTTGTTTTCCTTTATTTTGTATCACATTTAATAGCTACTGACCTTTGCAAACAGTAGACTTTCCTGTTCATAAATGTCATTTTAAATAGTTTTCACCCTTTTAATTGGATTCTTGTGAGCTTTAAGGCATGTTATAATGTTGTTACCTCCTCAAAAACATACAGAGACTTGTGTTTTGCGATGTCATGTAGTGGTAGTTTTCAAGTTAAAATCAACTTTTTCTCTTCAGTTCAGTAGAAATAGGCAATTAACAAATGAAATCACAAGAGTTTTTGTTTTTTGTTTTTTTTCGCTGAAGAGAAGAACTCAAATATATGCAGGATTTGAGTGTTAAATGCGTGAATGAAACAAAGCAAGATAAGGAAACAAGATTGTAATAACACAGATCAGAAAACAGTGCAAATGGGCCCTTTAAAAGATATAATATTTTGTTTTTAATTTTTTATCTCTATGGAGACTTTGTTAATTTGCTGAAACTCGGGCATGTTGATGGTTCAATCCTAGTTCCTACCATTACTGTTGTACTGTTGACACTGTTTTGTGGTAGTTTGAGAGCATATAGACTGTGGTTGCTCTGGTTGCACTTCACTTACCATTGAAAAATCTTTACGTCTCTCTCTGTGATTGCTGCCGTGAGCCTCCTCATTTTGGTCTGAACATTAATAACAAAACAATCTAATGCCTGCTTTCCCTGAGGTCACTTTCACCAGCTTTAGTAACAGGTTTGATCGACAGCTTTGCTAAGCAGCTACCCAGCAGACACTATTCACGCTTACGTCACAAACCAGGAGGACGTTTGGAACATGGAATTATTGCCTAACATGGATCTATTAAAACCGTCTGTGATAAAACCCCATTGAAGTAAATGTGATCAGCGGTAAAATGCAGACTGCATATGTACGTGCTCTTTGGAATCATCTTGAATTTGGCGCCTCATCTCTTCTAACCACATGTACCCAGTGCGTGTGAAGTTGTGCGTCAGTGAAGAAATGATAAAAACTGAGGTATGGTTGTAATTGTTGATTAGCCGAACATAATGGAATGCTACAGTGACATGTAGATGAAGAAAACTGGGCCTGGGAAGTTGTAATCGCACCTTTCCAAACGTCTTCCTGGTTTCTGACATAAGCGTGAATAGAGCCTAGGCAACAGCGGGAAGAGATGTTTACCTTCAACAGCCTTGCTCCTGACTGGCTCTTTGGTTTTGTGCTCGGATTTCCAAATATGGCCCCTGGTTGCAGTGTAGCCTCTATAACTGCTGGCCTCACTGAGCTTCATTTGGCCACAACCCATCGCTTTGAGTGACGTCACACTCCCTTAGTCCACAGATTGCAAGCCACATCTCTGTCCGTTCGTCCCAAGGCAAGTGTAACTAGTTTGTAAAGGTACAATTCAATATAGAAACAATATTGTTCAAAACATCATTATATAAATCCAAAGCAGCGTTATTATACAGTAAGTATTTACATTATAATATATCTCAGAAGCACAGTGAAGAGAGGTTGATGCTACCTGTTCTGATTGGTATAATTCCCTCTCAGTGTGTGTTCTTATAGAGGACTACACAGACAGTGAGTAACTTTAATTATGTTGACAGAGGTATTTAGGCAGCCCTGGAGTGGATAATTATGTTGTTCTTGAGATCGTCAGTTCTTATTTTCTCTATTCTGTTCAAACTTTTGCTTTCGTAAACTTTGGAATCAGACAACACTCAGCTCTAAGGGAAGTTTTCCAATTATTAGCTCCACACACAGGTTTTTAAATATTGCTGATTAGATTTGATCATTTTTGTTTTGTAAAGTTAACTTCAAGGTTGAGCTGACATTTCCATCAGCGTTCAGTAAGTTCTCGTTTTTCTTTTGTTTAATTTCTTTTAACAGTAAATAGATGTTTTGGAGAAGTCGTTTGAGTGTATGTTTTTGTACAGGAACTAAACGATAAAAAATAAAAAAAATTAAAGCTGTGATGCCTCAAGAAACACAATTATAAATAAGCCTAATTGGAAAGCGGGCTGATACCTCTGGGGACATGGGATAAAGATGAAGTTTGAGCATACCAGTGTGAAAAACCATGCACGAATCCATTCTTACTAAAGCTTAAGTAACAAACTGTTTTGCAAATGTAATAAAACCACACTGTTACACATTAAACATTCTGAATTTATAGAACAGAGGTCAGTTTTAGGATTATAAAAGTAAACAAAGCCCTTGACATAAAAATGGTTGGGCAGAATTGCTAATTATTGAAAATGTCACCGGGTACCATGACATCAAATCTGCAAACATATTGGAAAAATGAAATAAATAAAATAATTCTCTGATTGAAAAGGGTCCAGCTGTTTCATTGTCCTTTTATGTGTTGTATCAAATAATCCATAATTACAAAATACATACAATACCAGTCAAAAGTGCATGTTTTTTTTTTTTTTTTTAATATATATATGTTTACTACTTTCAACATTTTAGATGCATAAAGAAGACATCAAATATATGAAGTAAAATATGTGCAGCAAAGGAAAAAAGTACCGTATTTTTTGGACTATAAGTTGCACTTTTTTTCATAGTTTGGGTGGTCCTGTGACTTAAACTTCGGTGCGACTTATATATTAAAATTTTCACACTGACAGCCTCGAGAGGGCGCTCTAGGCTTATGTGTCAGTATCTCCTACTGCTATTACTCCTGTACCACTGTCACTTCGTCCTTTACTGCGCATCTCTACTGCGCATGTCTCCTGCAGAAAGAGCCTCTAGCCTGCTGCAAGTAGTGAAATATTCAGCCAAAAACGGTAATCAAGCAGCAGAAAGAAAGTTTGGAGTGTGCGAGAAACTTGTAAGGGCCTGGCAAAAGGCGGGGATGGAGAACACGGCTTCAAGGTAATTGGGAGGATGCGCCATGTAACTTTCCTGGAAATCATTGGATGGGTCGACAAAACCTGGACTTCAGTGACAACCGAAAACATCCTGTCAGGATTCAGAAAGGTCGGAAGAGGAAGCGGCGCTCCGTTTAACTCCGGAGTTGCTCAGAAGTGACCGAGGATGAAGAATTCAATGGATTTAATGATTGGAGTGAGATGGAGAATTTGGTAAACTTATTATGCTGCTTTTGCTACAGTTATCTGAATAACTCTTAATATGTTATTTTAACAGCCTGTTCTCTATTTTTAAAAAGTATGACTTATAGTTCGGTGTGACTTATATATGTTTTTTTTCTTTTTCTTTACGTATTATTTGTGTGTCTTGCAACTTATACTCCGGAGCAACTTATAGTCCGAAAAATACAGTAATTTAAACATTCACTACCAGTCAAAAACACACCCTTTCATTCAATGTTTTTTGTTTTGTTTTTTCTTTTCATTTTTCTTACTACTTTCTACTTTTTAGATACACACATAGAAGACATCAAATATATGTGGAATTATGTGTTAAAGTTAAATAACTCTACTATTTTTCAACAAAGCAAAGGGTGGCCAGTTTGAGGATTTGGTTATAAAATATTTAAAAACTAAATTACATCCAAACTTTTGACTGGCAGTGTACATCAACAAGTAATTATCTGATAAAAAAGGATCCAAAGATTTCATTTTCTTATCATTTGTTGTATCAGAGAATCCATTGTTGCAAAATACATATGGTATGTCTATTCAAGGCTGCACATAAGAGTCATTTTGGCCAATGTATTTTTAATCATTTCACCTTGTTGCACTTTTAGAAGACATTTATTATTGATGCATCACTCATGGAGAGAGACACAGAGCCCACTGTCTGGCATTTCTAAGGAATGTCTGGTATCTTTGGACAAGACGACAGCTACAGAAAGGTCTAAATGAGTTTGCCTTGAAAATACACAGTATCATTTTTAGACCAGTGGTTCTTATTCTTGCTTTTCACATCAGGACCAAACTTTTTCAGTTCTAAGTCACCTGGGTCCCACTCACAAATGAAAGATATTATATTATTTGTACAGCCCTCGAGGTGATACTCATGGTCCTGTTGTAAAAGTAGCCTGAGAGTAAGAAGAAGAGGCCTGAGGCTGCAAGTTCTGATGCAAAAAAGTGGATTTACCCAGGACACAAACTATTGTATTGCATTGTTCAGTCTAGTCTATAAATTGCTAGGGACATCACATTTCTGTCCTGGACCAGCCCCACACTGCCAGCTCAGCCCTTGTTATCTTGACCTACGTGAACAGAGGTATAATACTCCCTACAATGGAAGCATAACCGGACTAGACTGCCCTGAGACTGGACTGGACTAGACTGCAATGGACAATACTATCAAAGTGTCTTGAGTGTTGATGTCTCTGGGTCTTGTACTGATAAATAAAATAAATAAACTTGGTCGAATGTACCTATCCCTCAAAAACCATCCTAAAAGTGTGTGAATAATAAAAAATCACAAATCTGAGCCATTTCATATTGCTCTTATTTTATGTAAAAGTTATAGCTCGTGTAATTGCAGGCTGAGGTCAGTAGTATAGACAATGTACCAGAGATGGACCTTGCAAGTCGTGACTTGGACTCAAATCAGACTTGAGTCAATAATTTTAGGACTTGAGACTTGACTAAGACGTGGGACTAGACTTGGACTTGAAGGTCAATGACTTGGAACTTGACTCAGATTGAGCCCTGTGACTTGAGAAGACTTGATGCTTCTCCTAAAAAAAATATATGTTTTTAGAATATACTTTTCTCTTTACAGTTGATAAATGTGGTGCTGTGATGTGGTATCCTCAAATGTACTACAGTAACACACAGTACAGTAATATATAATACAATACAGTAAAACAGAGGGAATTACAGAGAACTACATGACAAAATAACTATTATTTAGACCTTTCTGTTCTGACCATAATGATTCACTCCAAGATTTTATCAAGACATTTAAAAATGAAAAAAAAAAAAAAGCATTTCTACAACTCATATATAAATATTCATATATAAACATACCAGTTTTTAAGTACAATTTAGTTTAAAATTCATATAATTTGCAAAAATCTAAGATATATTTGGTAATTTGATTTAAAGACTTGAAATGACTTGACTTGGACTTATGGGCCAGTGACTCAAGACTTGACTTAGACTTGCCTGTCTTTGACTTGGGACTTGACTCAGACTTGAGGTCACAGACTTGAGACTTACTTGAGACTTCCAAAACAACGACTTGGTCCCACCTCTGCAATGTACTATTTTTGAAAGAAGCACCCATATATAATCTTCAAAATGCTGAAGTTTATGATATTTGGTTACATAATTAGATACACAAAGCTTCCATCTTATGGCTAAAAGCACATGGAAGTGAGCAATGCTGCAACTTTTGTTCATATTGGAAGAAAATGATTCCACTTTGTTCATTACACTGTGTATCAGATTTTATTTTATATAGATAAGCCCATGGTGATATTAAACCAGGTATATCTATACATCTGCCCCTTCACCTCAACTTTTCATAATTTAGACTTTAGATTTAGTTAATTTAGACTTTAGATTTAGTTACACTGAAATAACACATATCAGGTCAATTTCTTTCTTAACTTATGCTTCTTTGTAGTCACCAACATTGCTCCAAAATCTTATGAAATACAAACAAAAAGCAATGCACTCTCTGTAATTTTCTTTCGTTCTTCTTTTCATTATTGCATTGAGGCTCTTGCAGCGCTCCTTTTTACCCTCTGTTCACAGTTGTGACAAAATTAGCTGAATTTCAATCTCTTTTTGTGTAACTTTCCTGGTGAAATTGGTTTTATTTTCCAGGTGACGCTCCTGTCCTTCAAAGTGGAGTCAGAGTACACCTTTGTGGACTTCATCCGCGGAGGGTGAGTGGAATTTTAACAATCTTCTTGCAGCAGAATCTTGCTACTTTTGCTATTTAGTTAGAATTTATTATTACCATTTGTATTTGTGCTTTTTGTTGTTCTGATGTGTGGGCTACTGTGTCCAAATAATTCCCCTTCTGGGTCAATAAAGTTTGTCTAAGTCTAATCTCCAGCAGCCCACCATTTCAATTTTCCAACTCCAGTTTGGATGAGTTCTCTATAGGGGATAATGTGTTTTTTGGTCATTCTTGTTGGTAAATAGCTAATTTATTCAGTGCACTCACTTTTAATTACTGGTTTAATTTGCTCTGGCTAATTAGATCTCCAAAATGGCGAAGAGATTATAGGTTTTCCATACTAATGAGATACTGAACCAGCAGCAGATTTGGGATTGTCTGAGCACATATAGTCTAGTTTATTCTAATTTACTTTTTGATTGTTTATACCTGCACAGATTTTCACAGGGAACATTACACAAAAAGGCGCAAACTAAAGTGGTAAAGGCATAACTTCAAGGTGTATTGCTTAACTTTTGAGAGGGAGGGTTTGCTGCTTTCTTGTCACCATGGAGATCATATTGCTTTGCCTTAAATATTCCCTACTATCATTGTCATTAAACTTAAATCTTAATTTTAATATAATTACAGGTGTTTTTATTGCTCATAAAACAATGAAAACCATGAATTCATACTGGAAACATCTCCACAGATCTGACCTGTAACTTGGCCCATTGGCTTTACTTGCCTGTTGCCATGGAAATAGATGTGTTTAATGTCATACTAAGGAACATACCAGGCAAAGTGATAACATCTTTAAAGAGAACATGTTAAAGATTGAAATAATTATTTTAAAATTCATTGTTCTTAGTCCAAATATTGATTAACTGTCACGCGTTGTCAAATTGTAGTTATCTGTTCTATTTTTCTTTGTCACATAAAGGTGCAATGTGTAACTTTTCTGGGGGAGAGTTTGTCAAATATTTTTCTCCATGGAGAAGTTATTGTTTTGTCTTGAAATGTTTCACAGTATGGTATTAAACATTTCTATCATCATGGAGACCAAACCAGACCAAGTTACAGGTCAGATCTGTGGATAAAACCTCAATTAAATAAAAAAAATAATAATAAATGTAAGGATCTGAGTAATGCAGGGATCTCCAATCTTTTTCCTCTGGTGAGCTACCTTTACAAAACAAAAATGCCAGAGAGTTACTCATTTGAGCGGCCGCAAGAAATTGTGACAATTATAAGAAAGAGGACAAGCCTATGAGAACAGTTAGATGCCAATCAAACATAAACCATTGTCCATTCATTAGTGCACAAAGTTTGACTTCAAAATGACACAACAAAATTTTTGTTATTCAGCACAATGGTATAATTCCGAAATCCCTTGGCAAGCTACTTGGAAGGGGGTGGAAAGCTACTGGTTGCTCCTGAGCTACAGGTTGGAGACCCCTGGTTTAATGTCATATTGTGGAACATTCCAGGCAGAACAATGACATATCCACGGAAACAAGAAGGTGACGAACCCCCATCCGAAAAGTTGTATCTATTATCAGCTCTTTTTGATTATGAGACCCAGTCAAATTATGGTTATCTGATTAGTGTAGTTCAGGGATGGGCAAACTATGGCCCGGGGGCCGTATGCGGCCCTTTAAACCTTTTAATCCGGCCCGCCGAACTTGAATAAATTATAATAATCAACCTTGTTAATGTTTTATTTTTCCTGCATTTCCGGCGTTTCCCAGTAGATGGCGCACTATATATACATTGAGGTGCGGTGTCTTCTGTTGGCCGTAATGCTTTATGGGAAAGTATTGACAGGAGTCATTTTCGGGCAGCGTATTTGGACCATGAGTGAGGTAGAAGTGTTTAAGACGTAAGGCTGCACTAATTTCATTCAAGACTGGCAAAAAGCAAATTTGGGAGGTTCATAGATTCAGTGTAATGAGTCATGACATATGGAGTGTCTAAAGGCCTTTAATGATTCATTGTGTCAGTATTATTGTGTAAAAATGCCTGATGTGCTGTTTCACAATGGGGTCTGCATTCCTAGGATATATGTGGCAGGGGTGTGTGAACTAGTGCTAGTATGTGGTCTTTTAAACTGGCCCGCAGAACTTATAATGATTAAACCTTATTGATGTTTTATTTTTCTTGCATTTCCGGCGTTTATGGAGCCGGGCTCTGAACACGTCATGTCCCGTCTTCTGTCCGGCCCTTTAGTCAAATTTTAGAACCCTATGTGGCCCCCAAGCCAAAAAGTTTACCCATCCCTGGTCTAGTTAATTTGCAAATGTACCCAATATGTGATTTCTTTTTATGTATTTTTTGTTCTCTCCCCAGAACACAGCTCAACTTCACAGTGGCCATCGACTTCACAGCCTCCAATGGTAAGTGAGTGAGGATGTGTGAGTCACGTCTTGGTAATGGCAAAGACAGCTGTAATAGTAACATGAAGAAGAGCCAGTTCATACAGGGACATAATACAATGTTCTGACATGAGGGAGCTTTATCTGTCACAGCACAAGACAAGGAGCCTCAAAAGGAAATAAAACTTTGGGAACTGTACAATATGAGATTGAAACTGGAGTTGGAGGCACAATAAAACTTTAAAAGCACACATAATGGATTGGCTCCAAGTGGTTGTTTTGTGTCATGTTTACAAATGCTCAGTTCAATAATATTCTGAAGCTACCTCTCAGCTCAAGTGCAGATTTCTGTATTAAACTTTGGGGTGATTTTTATTTTTTATTTTTTTTCTGATGATTGTATATGTATTATGCAATTATTTAAAGGACACAAAACCGACTCTTGTGAGCTTTAAGCCATGTTATAATTGTGTTACCTCCTCAAAAACTTTACCTGGACTTGTGTTTTGTTTCGTTCACCTTTATTATTAGTTTCTCCACATCTCCAAAGCTCACAATGCTCTGTTCCATCTTGTGATGTCGTGAAGAGTAGTTTTGAAGTTACAGCTACCGTTTACCTTTAGTTCAATAGAGGCAATTTTAGGGGTGAAAACATCTGAATGATTCGAGTGGAGTGGAGCACTTCCTGTATTACCACATGACATCACAAGGTGGAACAGAGTGTTTTCTGTTTGAGAGAATAACTTTCATGTGTTAAACATGTCTGAAAGAAACAAAACATAACTTCAGGTATATTTGTGATGAGGAAACAGTGCAGAGAAATCACCTGGCACACAGCAAAAATCATTTTAAAGGTGCATTGTGTAACTTTTCTGGTGGGGATTCCTTCAGATACTTTTCTCCATGGAGATGCTATTGCTTTGTCTGGAAAGTTCCACAGTATGGCATTAAACCTTTCTATCTTCATGGAGACATACCAGACCAAGTTACAGGTCAGATCTATAGAAAGGCAACCCCGCTCACAGTCAGAATGTCTGTTTTTCTAAGTATTTTGGAGTTAAACCACATGTAATTGAATAAACGTAAGGTAGAGCTGATTAATGCCATACTGTGGAACATTCCAAGCAGAGCAGTAACATATCCATAGAAATAAGCAGGTGACAGACACTCGACCTAAAAGCCACATAGTGCACCTTTAACTTCAAAGCCAAAGTTGACGACCAGAGTGTACGCAAATTTGTTCCCAACTCACTTCCAATTTCTAAACTTCTATGAGCTCCAAACTTTCAGTACAACAGGTTCCATTTGCTTTGTGCGCGGCCCTCAGGCCCTGACCTAATAGCCCACCTGCCAACATAAAAGATTCATTCTCCCAGCCTCTCTACCTCTGAATGCTTCAATACTTTTGTTTTCATTTACATCCCCCTTTCCTATTCTCCGCGTTCTTTCGGATCAGCTCTTGTGCCGGTAATAACTGTGATGGCGTGTACAGTCATTTAGCATCTGCGTGCATGGTATTGTTCACACCTCTGCTTTTATCTTTTCTCTATCGCTATCACCCTGCTGTGAGAGGAGCAGTGACCTGTGCGGTGCGTTCAGGGCCCCGTCAGTGTGTGGGTTTTTTACAGTGGCCGATAGCACGTGGAGCACCTGTGGCACTGTGGGGAGCAGGTTTTGATTAGTATTCAAATGCATTAGCGGGAGGTGTGACTGTAGCATGCAGCCATCAAGCATAATCAAATCAGAGAGTGCTTTTTACTTTTTTTTCCATCTTTTTTTCTTCCAAAGGAGAGAATAAATAAAAGTGGAGCGGAAATGTATTTGAAAAAAGGCGTGAGTTATGGTTTCGGAATGATGAATTTTTAAATTGTTGTCAGATTTTGATGTTTGTGATCTAGGTCATCTCGCAAACTTTTCACAACTAAAGCAGTTTCACAGCCAAGACTATCCAGGGTAACTTTATATTCAAGGTAAAATATTTGAAAGGTCTTATATAACGTGAAATTGACTCTTGTGAGCTTGAAGTCATGTTAGAATGCTGTTACTGCCTCAAAAACATACCTGGAGATGTGTTTTGTTTTTGTTTTTTTTCCACACATAAGTAAGTAACCATTTATGAATGAAACAAAACACAACTCTGGGATGTTTTTGATGAAGAAAATTGTGTATAAATGTGATAAAAAGAGCTATTTGTGTAGAAGTACAAGTTACTATTATTCCTCACTTTCCTTTTTTTACCATCATAAATATTCACAGCAATGAGTTTAAAAGCAATTTTCACAACTTTCAGAGACCAGAGTAGAGTTTTGCTGTCACGCCATGTTAACAACGACTAGCATGCTGACAGCGCACCAGCATCTCTTCCTGGTGTGCAGATAATACAATGTAGCAGACATATTTATATTTTGATTTAAAGCCCCATCCTATCTGGTGTTTGGATAATACTTTGAAAGATTCTCCATATTACTGAGTTACAATAAATGTTTATTAACCGTTTATAAAGCAGCCAAAACCAAACTGGTGTTGTGTTTTGGTATATATTTGCTGAAATGTTACACAGCGCGGCTTTAAAGAAATGTTGTCCTGATATCAGAGTACAAAGGTGCACTGCGTAACTTTTCTGGTGGAGGGTCCACTACTTGCTTGTGTCCATGGAAGTAGTTCTTTGCCTGGAATGTTCCACAGTTGGGCATTAAACGTATCTCCCTTGCATTTGTTAAAATACAGGTGTTTTATAGCTTGAACATACATTTAAACATGGATTCTTACCATGTGCAGGCTTGCTTCTCCACAGATCTGACCATTTACTTGTTTACATTGTGATAACCAAGTTTATTTCCATACTGAGAAATAAATAAGCCAGAACAGTAATATCTCCATGGAGACAAGCAGGTGGAGGGACCCTCCAAAGTTTTTCTACAGTCCAACGCTTGCACTGTAGAAAAGTTCTTCAGTGCAGCTTTAAGCTACAATTTTGCTCATAACTGTGAGTCAGAATACAAACAGAACTGTACTTGGAGTTTATTAGTCTGAAGTGTGAAAAAGAAGCAACAGAATCATCACATTTATTATCAGTATTTGTATTAATTACTTCAAATAACTTTCTTTTTAATTTTACGAACAAATAAATGTTAATTAGCTTCAGAATACTCCAGTTTTGCAGTCTGTGTAATTAGCTATCAAAAAATTCAGGTCATTATTTTTCTTATTTCACACTGTTCTTGTAACTTGTTGTTGTTAACATGGGGGCTTGATGGATTTGCTTATCGTGCCATGAAACTGCTATAAAAAGTAGAGATGCACTAATTCAGCTTTTTCAGCTTCGATATTAATACTTAAGCTTTAAGTATCTGCTGATACTCGATATTAACCGATATCAGTGTAGGGACTGTCAATTTTTCCGAAAAAACACAATTAACTTAACTATAAATTTGATCCATTTGTTTGTGTAATTGTTATGTATCCTGCAAGTAACTACTGAACAGCTTTGTATGAATAAAAGTTGAATCATTATGAGATGTCCAGGGTCTACATCAGCCACTAAACATATATGACCCAACCAGGATATTGGCTGAACCGATATCAAGAGACCGATATCTGATTCAGTAAAATTTCCTAAATTGGTGCTAATATCTGATACCAGTATCGACATACAGTAGGTGCATCTCTAATAGAAAGTACAGTCACATCTGGTAAACATTTAGAATTTTTCGTGATAAAACTGAGTTCAACTAGAGTATCAGATTGAAGAGGACTTTCGTCATAAATTTCAGGACACGTCACCACTGAGTAAACATATCTCCAAATCCACCAACACATCTGGCAGTGACTGATTTCTATCGAGCTGTTCCAGTGTGTTGCTTGGTTACATAATTATATTCACCCCTCGGAAATGAAATACATGAATGGGTTAGTTGTTTTCTTGTTTCTCGAGGCAATGTCCCAGCTCCAAATGCCAGTACTTTTCATACAGATCCTGCTCAGATAAAGAACGTTATAATGCACTTCTCATACGTGTTTATATGTTGTTTTTCCAGGTAATCCTTCGCAGCCCACCTCTCTGCATTATATGAGTCCGTACCAGATGAACGCTTACGCCATGGCCCTGAAAGCAGTGGGCGAGATTATCCAGGACTATGACAGTGACAAGCTCTTCCCTGCCTACGGCTTTGGGGCTAAGCTACCCCCCGACGGCAAAATCTCTCATGCGTTCCCACTGGTAAGAGACACAGCGGCACTATTGGCCCCTTGTGTATGGCCCCTGCCTCTCTCACACACACATGCACACATACTCACACACACACACACAGAGGGATCAGACCAGGCAGGGCCGGGTCCAACCTCGAGTGACGCTGTGACTGCAGCTGCTCTCTCAAGTTGAAAAGTTGTCTCATCTGCTGTCAGCGGGATCTCCCAGCATCCCCTTCACTTCCTCCTTCAGACTCCTGAGGGGGAGGCAGGCCAGGCATTCTGCTCCAGGGGACGAGAGGAGACACGCCCTCCTCGTCCACGTCATCTCAGTGTGTGTGTGTGTGTGTGTTTGTGTTTGTTTGTGCTTGCTGAGAGACTGTGCCTCCATTAATAATGCAGGGTGTGATAAATATAAGTGAAGCAGGCTGAAATGTAAATGATTGATTTTTAATTCTTGAAACTTTGAGGTAAAAAACTGCAAGACAAAGTTGCTCACAGATAAGGGGTGTTTTCCTACTGTCACTTCTATGACACTCTGGAGCAGGGCGGGCGTGATGTGAAAGCAACTGAACTCGGGCTAACCTCCACAGTCCATGGTGCAAATAAAAGAGCTTTGAATTTATTTTTTATTTTTTAATTATATAACCTTTTATTTTTTGTTCATCTGACATGACAAATTGGATTCCCATTATTATACCCATTTATGAGAGCAGTAAAAAAGAAGAGACAAAGGGAGTGTAATGTCACGCGTAATGTTTTGCTCCAGTCAAATGAAGCTCATGAGGTTAGCAGTTGCAGGAGCGAGGACTAGGAATGTATTAATGGACAAAATAACAAAATAAAAACACCAGGATCATGTAGAACGAGTTAAAACTAACATTTTAAACCCCAAATGATGAGGCTCACTGCAGCAGTTACAGAGAGAAAGGGTGCCAATTTTTCAATGTAAAGTCAACTGGAGCCGGATTTGATGGAGCCTGAAGCGCCCCCATGCTCACTTCCTGTTTGGAACGCAACAGCAACTAGCAGTTTCTGATGAGAATCAAAACGGACAGGAAGTGGGCACCGTTCAATATGATGTTGAGAATTAATTAAAAAATTAGTTGTCAAAACGATGGCTCAAGGTTGGTAGAAAAAATATAATTCATTTTCAGAAAAAGACTTTGCTGCACTGGCTTCCTGGTCTTTATGCTTCGCTTTGCTATTACAATTGTTTTTAAAGACATCTGTGCACACAAGGCCTTCCACAGGTCCAAGGATTTCTGTGTTATCGGTTTGTATTGACCATTTAACAGAGTAGGAGTTTGAGATGTTTTCTCTCATGGGAAATGCTTCATGGTCACTTAAATATGTTTCTTGCAATGTTTTCATCAGGGTGTGTAAGGTAATAATCAGTTGTAGTTGAATTAAGAAGTACAGTTTTAGTGTTTGTTGATGCAAAATTATGCTATCCTTGGAAGTTTTTAGAGGCCAACTTTTAATTCCCAGGCCCTCTCAGCACATCATTGCACAGCTCGTGTTCAGCGTACTGTAGATTTGGCTGACAAATACAAAACTCACATGTGGCAGATGTTGGAATATAAACAAATGGATTATGGATGAAGTGGCATTTCAAGAGGATTTTCAGCACCAGCTGCACCTGCAGGTCCAACTCTCTTACAGATCTCTTTTTATGCCGTGTCTGTTTGTGTTAGTGTGCTTTCTGCAGCTCACATGCCTGGATCCAAAATACTCTATTGATCTGATATTTTCTGTGTAGTTCAGGGTTGACACCTTTTGTTGTTTTTGTAAATGTTAATGTGTTGCTGTTAATGTAACTGCACTCCAACATTTTTTTTCTTCCTTGGTCGGAATTAGTGGCACTTTAGCTTAATAATAAACACAACTTAATAATTACACACAGTAATTATTTAGTTGCGTTGGTGCTCTTTTTGGGATAATATTTTCATGGACTGGTGGCGGAGGAGTCCTGGTTTAGTCCTGATTTTAATTCTGGTTTAATTCTGGTTTAGTCCTGGTTTTACTTCTGGTTTAGAGGCGCGATCAACGTGGTGTATACAAAGCAAAAAAAGACACTCCAAACTATGAGTAGGTCATCAGAATTGCAACATTAAAGGTGTTGGAATAGCGGCATCAAAAAGTGTCGGAATGGGGGCATGATTGTGTGTCAGGGTGGGGTCTGTCAGAGTGGCGTTATGTCGGAATAAGGGTTGTACCCCCACAGCAGGACTCATATGTGCCTCATTATGTAAAGGTGCACAGTGTAACTTCTCTGGTGGAGGGTCACCACCTGCTTGTATCCATGGTTTTGTCTGGAATGTCCCAATATGGCATCAAAATTATCCATTGTGCATTTTCTCAATAACATGGGTTTTTATTTACCAAAAAAAAAAAAAAACATTCATACTGTGAGTGGGCTCGCCTCTCCACTGAGCTGACAGGTAACTTGGCTCTGTGATGTGACCTGCTGTTTCCATAGAGATAAATAACTGTAATGCCATACTGTGGAACATTCTAAGCAACATCTTCTTGGACAGAAGCAGGAGACAGACTCTCCGCTAAACACAGATAATACACATTACTGTTACCTATTTTTCAGTCTAATCCTTTTTCTTTTCATATATATTTTTTGGCAGAATGGAGACAGTGAGAACCCAAACTGTGTGGGCATCGAGGGCGTGCTGGAGTCGTACTTCCAGAGCCTGCGCACGGTGCAGCTGTACGGACCCACCAACTTCGCCCCCGTCATCAACAAAGTGGCCAAGTGAGTTTCATGTCTGCTCCAGCCACATCCCGGCTCTGAGCGGGAACGTCTCCTCTGTGTTCTTCTTTACTAGGCCTGATTAAGGGAAGGCGGTAATGGATGGCATGAGTCACAGCTTGTTGGAGCGACAGATTAAAGAGTTTATTTACGGGGGCATGCCAATCTGGGTAGGATCAAAGATGAGGTTCAGAATCCCATTGGCTATTAGTCAAATCCCCATGCCTCACGTGGGAGCGTTTATTAGGAAATTAACAGCTAAATGAGGAAGAAAGAGTCCCAAAGCTCCTGCTAAACGACCCATATTTCACTATATTCTGATCTATGTTATAACGTTGTTTCCTCATCAAAAACATACCTGGAGTTCTTCTCTCAAACATCAGAATGTGGAGCAGAGCATTTTGAGCTTTGGAGATGTGGGCAGACTAATGAAAAAATACTTTCCAGGTATATTTTTGAGGAGGTAACAACATTTTAACATGACTTAAAGCTCACAAGAGTCAATATTGGGTAATGTAGGACCTTTAAAAATGAATCTGATGCCTCAAAACCTCATATTAATTCAATGGGTGAATATTAACTAGCCTTCAATGGTTAGAAAAGTGTATTCTAGTGTTTTTGAGAGTCGGCATCGCCCACATCAAGTTGATTCATAAACGTATTTCACCTTAAAAAACTCATTTCGATATTGAGATTGAAAACACAACCTCTTCCGCACCTTCTTTTAAACTATCCAACGGCATTAGATGGTGAAGGACGTGGAGAGACACTTCATCCATCTTATCTCTCTCAGACAAAGGAATCGAAGACATATTTTCGATTTTGCTCTTCTCTGTGCGGACAGAAGACAGAGCAGTGCTGAGGTTTTGGTTTCTTTTCCCCTGTGCTTGTTATTTTTGAAAGGCCTCTCAGAAGCTCAAGGTTGGAGATTTCAGGCGGTAAACAACTCAATGCTCCCCCGTCCTGGAGGAGAAGTGGTTGCCATGGCATGAGTCCATTTGAACTCATATCTGGTACTACAAAGCTTTTTAGTCTGGCGCATATGGGGGTGCTCTAAGTGTGTGAGTAATACAAAAAGTACACGGTGCTGTAATAAAATGTAACATGAATTTGAAGGTCCTATATTGAACAAAATTGAGTGTTATGAGCTTTAAAGGTGCGCTATGTAATGTGCTTGTTTCTACTGATATGTAATCAAACAGATCTACTTTATATTTTTTCAATTACATGTGGTTTTAAAGCTCAAAAAACAAAGCAAAACAGGTGTTCTAACTGTGAGCGGCGTGCCTCTCCACAGATCTGAGCTGTAACTTGGTCTGGTTTGGTTTAATACCATACGGTGATACATTCCAGACAGTCAGATTAGTTTAGTTTATTTATTTAATGAGACAGGGACAGTGTACAATCTACATTAACATTAACAGGAGAGATGCATTGTACCAGGTTTTAACACCAGTGCTGATTCCCACCTGTAGTCCCTGGGCTGGTTAATTGATTGATTGAATTTTATTGTATTTTATTGACCGTAGCTATCAGATATTCTTCCTGGAGACCTGGAGAAAAGTGTTTGATGGACCTTCCACCAGAAAAGTTACATAATGCACCTTTGGGACATGTTATAGTGTTGTTACCTAATCAAAAATGTACCTGGAGTGTTTTATTTCATTCATACATGTTTGAGTAATCCTATATTATTAGTCTTTCCACATCTGCAAAGCTCAAAATGCTCCATTCTACCTTATGATGTCATGTAGTGGTAGTTACAGCTACCTTTACCTTTAGTTCAGTAGAGATTGAAATTCATGGCTGAAATTATCAAATTGATTCTAGTGAAGGTGTATGCAGTTTAAGTGGAGCACTTCCTGTATTACCTCCTGACATCACAAGGTGGAACAGAGTGTTTTCAGTTTGAGGGAAGAAATGAGTCGAAGTATGCAGGGTTTGTGTTGTGCATTAAACATGTGCGAATGAAACAAAACACAACTTTTTGCTATGTTTGTGATGAGGAAACAACATTATAACATAAATCAGAAAATTACATAATATGGATCATTTAAGATAAACTACACAACAGAAGGAAATAAAGTAATTTTATGTTATTTTGGTCATTATTTCCTGGATATCTGTACTGTGCTAGTACATGTTTTAAGGTGAAATGATGTTATATTTTGCTTTATATGTAGTTTGGACTTGGACACTTGTTCCATATTTCTCCAGGGAGCAGTGGGAGACAGTTCCTTCACTCTGTCCCCCTGGTTTCCCATGAGCCTCCTCTCACTGTGACAGGCCTGTGCTCAGAGCTGTCCTCCCTGTGAGACATACAAAACCCAGGATTCTTTTCAGTACTCAAACACTCACTCAGCTCCAAGTTCCTTTTGGCCGTCTAAATTCCCCATCCATTTGTAAATATAGAGCCTGTGCCCTTATCTCCGGGATTCAGATTTTTGTTTAATCTATTATTTTATTCTTTATTTTCCATGAATCACTGCTTAATGGAGTGATTTGCGCTTATTAGTCAGAGCAGGTTCATTATATTGTCCCCTATAGAGATTATCTACATATGCTTCAGAATTCAAATTAGTTTCTGTATGAGGCTAAACATTTTCCAAGTCAGAAGTTTGATAAAGTTAATTTTCCGATATTGACTGTATTGACAGAGCCCACTTGCTGTCATTGCCCATATACTGATGTAAAATTGTAGATCCTATCTTACACAAAGTTGACTCTTGTGAGCTTTAAGCCATGTTATAATGTGGTTACCTCATCAAAAACATGCCTAGAATTGTGTTTTGTTTCATTCACACGTTTGAGTAACTCATTGTTGTCAGTCCGTCTACACCTCCAAAGCTCAAAATGCTACGAGTTGCATTTTCTATTTTGTTCTGTAGAGACTGGCAATTCCAGGGCTAAAATCATCTAATTGATTTTAGTGAAGGTGTATGGAGTACTTGCTGTATTACCACATGACATCACAAGGTGGAACAGTGTTTTCTGTTTGAGAGAAGAACTCAGTCTACATATGCAGGATTTGTGTTTTAAACGTGTGTGAACGAAACAAAACACAACACCAGGGAAATGTTATTGCTTGGCGAATGCTCCACAGTATGACATTTGACATGTCTCTCACCACGTAGTCGGGCAGGTGACAGCACCAGGCCAAGTTACAGGTCAGATCTGTGGTGAGGCAAGGTCCACTCACCCTTTTTCACTTGTATTTCTGTATTTCAGTTCTTCCTTGCAGTACCAGCTAAATATGTTTGATTTTGTGATAATGTTTCATTATCTTGTAAGCCGAGGCAGGTTTGTTTGTATAGCACAAATCGAACACAAAGTAATTCAAATGCTTTACAGAATAAGAAAGTACAAAAAAAATGTACACAGTGTCGTAATAAAATGGCTTCACTTTGGCTTTTGACACAGTTTGAGATGTTGACATTTTTTTAGTTGTCTTTATTAGATTCTGTTTTTATTCATATGTTTTATTGTTTTTGATTGTTTTTATTTAATTATGTTCTGTAGCACTTTTGGTCAACCTGTGCAGTTTTTAAAGTGCGTTATGAATAAAGTTGCAGTTAAAATCACAATACAAACAAATAAAAATATATATAATCATCATAAAATTAACATTAAACAAGAAGAAAGAAGAGTGTGGAAAACCTTTCATAAGCACAGCCAAACAGAGCCGTTCTGAGCCTGGATTTAAACATTGTCACAGTAGAGCTCTGTCTCACATCTGTACAGCTCTATTGATTATGTATGACTTAGCCCAGAGCCAGGAGACCATGCGCTGTCCCTTCTATAACCTTCACACTCCTGATGTTTTCCTGATGTTCTGCTGATGTTTTCCTCTGGTCTTAACTTGTGGTGTTGTTGTTTTGTGTGTCCAGCTGTGCAGCAGAGATCACGGACGGATCACAGTACTTCGTCCTCCTCATGATCACGGACGGAGTCATCTCGGACATGGTGCAGACCAAAGAGGCCGTGGTCAATGTGAGCATGCACTTTTTAAATATAAAAAAAAAAAAAAATCTTGAACGAGAATTATGAATAATGCGAAGTCATATAATAACATAAAAGAGTTTTGATGTAACAATAAAGTATGATTGTACACATAGACTGTATAATCTCTGAAAAGTTTAACATGAACCATCTCAAACCCAATAAAAGCACAGAACAAACTCACCATTAGCAGAACACCCCTCTGTCCCAGAAAGCGCAAATATAATCCACTGAGTCGTGTCCTTTAGTCCAACAGAAGCTGAACCGCATCAGTGCACAGTAGCGAGTGCTTAGTTTATGCAAATTAGCCATGCGGTTTTAAGTTTCATTTCTGTAAAACGTAAACAAATATGCTCAAAGCTGTGTGGATAGGGAAGGCTTGTGGACACAGAAACGAGTCAGTCCTCACTCTGAGCCGCCATGCTCGTCTTAAAATCCAGTGTTACTCTAAGTAACAACTGAACCTCGTTGTCAGCCCACGAAAAGATTGTTTTTACACTTGCCATCTCCCTCGGCTCAAAATCAGCTGCTGCAACTTCGGACTTCCTTGTTTTTACCGCTCATGTGACGTCGGGGCATCGTGAAGATTGTGACACCAGCCTGTCACTATGACTAGCATTTCAGGCGGCTTTTGCTTTTCTGTGTGGACAGGGAATACTTTGATTGTAACGTTTCTGATATGCTGATACAGTGATACGCTCATCCGTTTTAGTGTAAACGGGGTCTTAGTTATGGTGGAACAGTGTTTTTTGGAACAGCGCCACTGTGTTTTTAAAGTCCATACACCTTCTCTAGAGCCATTTGGATAATTTCAGCCCTGGAATTTCTAATATCTACTAAAGACTAGGTGAAAGGGAGCTGTAAACTTCACTATCATGACACTGAAAGATGCAACACAGCATTTTAGTCTTTGGAGATGTAGACAGACTAAAAATACAAGGTTACTAAAACATGTGTGAATGACAAAACACATGTCCAGGTATGATACAGGACCTTAAAACGGCAGAACATTGCGAGGTCAGCTTACAATTCAGTGTTGTTTTATCATATTACCTTCCCTGTGCTGTAAAAATCTGATCACAACTCCTGCTTCATTTAATTTCCGAATAAAATGAACTCCCTTGCTACATTTTACTGTCATAATTTAATTCACGGTGCAGCCGCTTTGAAGAATCTGTCCTGCTCGTCTTGATTCATTCATTAGCAAAGAACATATTACAAACCAATCAGATTCACTTTGTCTTTCACAGCCTCACCTTGGTTTGTTCTGTTTCTGAATGATGTAAAAAGATACTTGATGATAATATGAGACTCCACACACAAGACGCTCTTAAACGTAAACATAAAAGTGATGGAGTGGCAATAGTAGAAGGCGTTTATGGTCTCAAGTCTCACTCAGCGGGTCTACAGGGAGCTCTTACATGACGTGCTGTCTGTCTGTGAAAATGAACAGTTTACATTCAAGACTGTGCCTCCATTTGTAATTGTATTGTGAAGTAGAGACACTTCATTGGAGTTAACATACCAATCAATTCATGAATTTGTGGATTAGCTCTCGATAATGTCACCGTGTATTGACACCATTACAGCTCGTTGTCAGTTAATGTTTGAAAATTAGGCATAAGTGCAGAATAAGTATGAGATATTATGTGACCAATACAGTTTCTAATTTTGTTTAACATGCACATTTACATAGTTCAAAAAAAAAAAAAAATAAATAATAATAATAGAAACAAAAAAATCTAAAAATATCCATTATGTCTATGAGTGAGGTTGCCTCTCCACAGATCTGACTTGTAATTTGACCTGGTGGCTTCACTATCTTATTTCCAGGGAGATGTGTAAGTTTCATAGCCAAGCTGGCGCCATCTAAAGCCTCCGCTCAATTTCATTTCTCTCTAGAGACTAGGTCAGGAATCAGAATGCACTAGATTTTTTGCATAAAAGAACCCCAGAAGTTGTAGATCACGCACCGGCCAATCACTGAAAAGCTGTGAAGCCATGACGTCAAAGTCAAGCTCCTGTCTGGGTCCCTTTTGTGGTACAGCACAACAGTAAACAAAGCGGTCGAGATGGATGTAGATGAAGCCATACATTCTGTGTTGGCAACGATTCCCGAGATCGAGGATTAAAGCTGGAACAAAGAGAATGTTTGGTGAATTTTATCAAGGGGAAAGACGTGTTCAATCTCTGCTTTGTTTGCTGTTGTGCCGGCAATTACTTTTGACACCACTGAGTGTTCCGGGGCATTACATACATCACAACCAAATAGGAGAGATTGGTTGAATAAAAAAAGTTCCCGCTTACCGTCGAGAGAACGAATCCTAATGCTGCGAGGTGAGGGAAACTGGCTGATGAATCAGGCTTTAAGTTTCATCCCGTTCTCTGGAACATTCCAGGCAAATTAATAACATCTCCATGGAGACCAGCAGGTGGCAGACCTCCACCTGAAAGGTTACATAGTGTACCTTTAAATGATTTTAAAATATATATTTTGTATACTATTAATCAACTTTTTAAAAATGAATTATACAAATGCTATTACACTGTGTTATCTTGCTAAATAGGAAAAAGAATACCGACTCACTACAATTTTGCTGAATGTCTCTCCATGCTCTCTCCCCCGGTTCTTGCTATGTTATGAAATTTACAAAAAAAAACAAAAAAAACATAAGATCTCATTGTGGTTTTCCATTAAAAAAAATAATGTATGTTTTCATGTTTTGCAGGCCTCTTCACTTCCTCTGTCCATTATAATCGTTGGAGTGGGACCGGCTGAGTTCGATGGTGAGCTTATCTTTGATTGTTACTGATGGTGCTATAAGACCCCGTCCCACCATAAGACCCGCTGCAGATCTGCTTCATTTGTTGCTCTTTCCACCCAAACCCCTGACATGACCCTAACCCCATTATTCCCACGCCGTATCTGGACAGAATGAATGGTTTTAATGAAAACTGCAGATCTTACAGAGATGTTGACCTTTCCGATGTAAAATGTCACGCAGTAGGAATTGTATCCCGTAAGACATGTGTATGAATTCTCGTATAATTGTATGTAATTAGTGGCTAACTTTATGTGCAGTGTTATGGCTGATCCGTGTTTGGTGAGATTTGGCATGGGATATTGTTGACCTTTTAACTTTGAAGAAGAAGTTTAACGATGATTAACTTAACCTTTGCAAAGTGAATAGAAAGCATGGATTCAGCTTTGCCAGATTAATTTGTTTGATATATGCATGTCTGGTTATGATGGGTTATTTAAGGCTCTTGAGTGAAAATTCTTTGCAATACAGCTCTTATCAATCACATATTATTACTTTAATCATTTTCTATTATATGGATAGTCTTCTTTGTTATTTGAAATACAGAGAAACTGAGTTAAATCCCTTATCACAATGCAAAATAAATTGTACCAGCTACAAAAAGTGTAAGATAAAGTAACGTAATGTTCTGCTTCTGAATCTCTGCTTGAACAAGTCTGAAATTATTGCTGTTATGTGATTATACCCTTTTGTAGACTAACTTTTGTACAACTGAAGTTTTGTATCTTTTATCTTTGTATTGCTAGTGATTGCTGCTTCTTTAAAATCCACACCTTAAAAATGCATAAAATGTAATATAGACTGATTCTCCAGGTAGGTCCTGACCACGCTCTGATCTGGAGAGGGCCCAGGTACAGCAGCAGTGGAGGCATGAATCAATATCAGAGGACAATAAAGTGAACCTTAACTCTAACCTTAACTTAATTAGGGAAAATCGTTTGTGTAAACCAGAAATGTATAAAGACAACTAGGGAAACTGTATTTTCTATGATGTAAGACGTGTGTCAGCTTGCTATAAAGGTGCACTGTGTAACATTTCTAGTGGAGGGTTTTCCACCTGCTTGTCTCCAAGGAAATGTTCCACAGTATAGATTAAACCTATCTATCACAAGGGAGAAAAGCAGGTTACAGCACTACGCTACATTACAGTTCAGTTCTCTAGAGAGTCGCCCCTATTCACAGAAGGAATTATTGTATCTTTAAGCAAAAGAAACACCTGTAATGAAAAATGCTGAATGCATATAATCCAATGAAGTTCATTTGGTCTTCTGATAATTTATGATATTAGGTTCTTTTTTCAGACCAAGAGTTTGACAGTTTTGAGTTTTGACTGCTTGCTAGTGATCTTTTTCAAGACTTTTTCTGTTATGCACCTTGATGTACGGTAATGTCAATTACTCGTTCACCCAAAAGATAAAATGGAACTGGAGCATAAATGTAATGTCATATATGAAATACCCTGCATGTCCTGCAATAAAACATAAATCGGGGGAAACAGGGAGGGTGTTCAGTACATGAAAAAAGGAACAGAATACGAGAAGAAAACAGCGAAGGCGTGCACATGAGCAACAAAACACAAAGCAGAACAGGAACAACTCAAATCGTCCATCTCTGATACTGTAAAAGACAGAACCACATTATGGACTGGGATGGAGCAAACATCATTGCGACAGAGAAAAACAAACACTGTCGCTGGATTAAAGAGGCAATCAAAATACAGAAACGTGCCCATGGGACTATAAACCGGGACGAGGGGGCTTTTTGACTCTCACACACCTGGGATACTATTCTGAGGAAGTTTGACTGCAGATGGCGCTGTCGTCTTGCCTCCACCAGTAGGAAGACAGCACCAAAATTTGTATAAATCAGGTGACCAGACACATCACAGCAACATCACATGACAACTCTGAGGAAGAGTGCTAGTGAGCAGTCGAAACTGACAGGTATGAAAACAAACTCTTGGTCTGAAAAAAGAACGTAAAAACAGCTAGATGTATATGTTTAATGTCATACCATGGAACATTCTAGACAAACCAATAACATGTCCATGGAGATAAGCAGGTAGTGGATCTTCCACCAGAAAAGTTGCACCGTACACCTTTAAATACAGCACTACTAAAGTGTACGAGACATTTACATGATTCAAAAGTGAGCCCACAGAAAGACTTACAGCACTGCCATTGTGAGACTGGTGGAAGAGTTAGCTCTCAAAGCCAAGAGCTCTGCGGTCTGTCCAAGTCCACGGATCAATGCTCTTCCTCTCTCTGTAACCCTGTGTCACTGCCCAGCCAGCCGTGGAGACTTAGCACCTCATCATCGCGCGGACGGGCCAGCTTCCTTTCTTTTTTTCACCAGTTTACGCAATCGAACAGAGAGATTGTGGCTTGGTCGTGTGGAAGGGTCAAGGGTCACGGTAGCTAATAGCTGCATTGTGGGTGCTCCTCAGTGTGTGTCTGGACCTTGTACTTTCAGGCCTAATTGCCTTTTCCAGCTTTGTTTTGTGTTAGACCCCAGCTATGCTTCTTCATTGTATAGAGTTCTCACCTTTTAGGCCTCTGGGGCCGTAATAATGAGTGTATGTGAATGGATTTTTCTGAAGGTGTAAGCATGTACAAACAACCGCAGTATTATATCGCATTGTGTTTCATGAAGCTGGAAAATAAGCTGGATATATTTTGGTGTTGAGATCTTTGGCAATTAGAGATGCTATAAAAGGATCAAAGTATGACTGAAATATTTGTTAGGAAAAGCATACAGCAACGTAAATCCCCCTGGAGACGCGACAAAAGAAAGGAAGGAGAGGCTGTGGTGGCCAAGTTTGTTGCTTCTGTGGTGGCGAAGAGAGAAAGTAGAGTTTAAATTGTTTGTGCATGGGTCTATATACAAAACAATAACTTGCATGAAGTTTAGGCTACGTTTATATGATGATGGTCTGAACAGAAGAAGTGGCAAAAAAGTGGCAGCAAAAGGGACGCTGCATCTTCACTTTTTATTCCGTGTTTAGACGAAACGTTTTCGGGAGGAAATCCGCGTGCATACGGTGAGGCATACGGTGTGTGGAATTCGATTGGGTATGCATGCCAGGCGGCTAGGTGGTGATGCTAGGTGGTGATGTATGTGACGTAAACGTGTATGCGACATGAGCAGATCTGACCAGAGTTTTGCGTCTTGGGCAATGTAGATGGAAATGCTACGGTGCAGCATATTCAACTTTTCCACTCTGGAGGGAGTTTTAGATTTCAAATTTCAAACGCCATCACCTAAACGAAAGGCACTTCCGATAAAATATGTTTTTAATACGTTTTTACCCGCAAGTGTTCTCGTGTAAACAGGCCATTAATGTCTTCTATCTGAACTCCAAATAGGAGTTAAGATAGGGCATTATTTTTGAATCTATCTTATAATGTTGGTTCCTCATTAAAAAATATACCGGGACTGTTTTGTTTCATTCACACATTTATACACAACACAAAAATCCTGCATATTTATGACATCACAAGTTGCAACAGAGCATTTTGAGCTTTGGAAATGCAGATTAATAATAAAGGATTACTCAAATGTGTGAACGAAACAAAACACAACTGCAGGTCTGTTTTTGAGTAGGTAACAATATATAGTTATGTTAGAGACATATCTTAAAGCTCACAAAAGTCAATTTTGCATAATATATAACTTTTAATATCTTCCCACTCAACTATAAATTAAGTTAGAAGAAGTTTTTCTCTGGCATTGGTAGCATTGTTCAATCACAAAAAGTAGTTTTCAGTTCAGTTTTTCAAGGACTTATAGAGTCATATGAAAAAAATAAATAAAAATCTTTGGATATAACCCCTAGCAAAAATTATGAACTTCAACATTTTCTGGGACATTTCTTTCAAATAGTGAATCTCTCATAAAGTTATATAGACCCGTGCCCTCCATCTGAGATTATGACATCAATCTACAATGTTATGATTGCAGCCGTCTGACAGAGAGGTGACAGTGAGGTTGGAATGATGTACAGCAGTGTCTCTCAAACTTTTCAAACCAAGTACCACTAAAGAAAAGAAAAAAATGTCTTTCCGAGTACCACCAGATTTAAATCATGTCTATAACAAGGCTATTCCAGGTCTAATCTAGGGCTAAAGTGGACTACATCATCTCACTACAGTTCTAAACAAGAAATTATCCAACGGAGGACAAAAAGGTAGATAAACTTAACTTTACACTCGACAATTCCACACATTGAAGAGGTTTCCAACCACTACCTGAAGGAGCTCACCTACCACCAATAACACATGTACCACATTGATAGGAAAAAAAAACAACAACACCAAGGTAGGCAAGCCTTCACATATTTTGTCTAACGTCCTATCTAATTGATTAATAATAATGATTGTTCTCTTTAGTTATGAAGACTTAGATGCGATGTATGTAGACAAGCCTCTTTATCTTGACAGTCCTTCTGCTAATCTAGCCCCCACATCAATGTAAGCTACGGTTACATATTTGTTCATAGTGTTTACTTATGATATCTAATTGTGCACTTACCTGATTTAGGCAAGTTCCAGAGGCGTCCCAACCCTCCCAAAAGCCAGACACCCTTGAGATACCCTCTGGTTTCACCTTGTTCAGGGACCAGAATTGGTTTAAATTTCGAGAAAACCTGGGAACCAAACATGCAGAAGTTGTTGATGATGCGCTACAAGAACATGTAAGATTTCACCTTACATCCAACTTACTACTGACCATCTTCTGAAGATTCTGGAGGAATATGCCCAATAGTGAAGTATTTTATTTCTCTACAGTGGGGGGCTATGAGCGCGGCTGATAGATACCACAAGTGCGAGTACCCGGCCCGAACAGCAAGGCAAGCTGCTCGTCAGATAAACCTTGAACAGAGTCCTATGTCTCCAGAGATGAACAAAGAGGTATGCGCAGTACATGCAGTTATACTAATACTATATACTGAATATAGTAAACAGAACAAGAAATATGTGCTGATATGTTCTTCTATCCATTCTTCTCACCCTCTCCCAGCGTGCAAAACCCGAAATGGGTAAGACAGTTTTCCATAAAAATAATTCATATTTGAACTTTTGAATTTACAGTACCCATCATTTTCAGTTTTTATTTTTACAGAGAAAATATTGGGGATTGTGAAGAAAAACGCATGCCAAAAGAAAGAGAATACACAGCAGAAAAAGAAGAAGACAAAGGAGGAGAAGATGCAGGAGAGAAATAGGAAAATAATCATGTCGCTGCTCTCATCGGAGGAGGAGGACACCGATGATTTTATTGAAGTAGAGTAGATAAACACATTTTGGCCCCTGTCTAGAGGCCATTTTTAATAAAGTGTATGCAAGCCTGAATTTTGGTTATAATTTTGTATCTTTGCTATTTAAACTTGTGTTATTTACTGTGTATGACAAACACTGAGATTAAATTGTAAATGAAAGACAGTGAAAATTCTCAGTACACATGGCGCAGATGACACACTGGATGAAATGGCTCTATTGTGGATACAATTTGATGTTTTCTTCCATAGTGGCTCTAAACCCTAAGTTGTGCATGTTTTGCTCTTTTGGCCTTTGTTTTTACCTGTAAACATTTACTAATTAGCATGGGTTGCATATAAACATGATAGATAAGGTTCAGATTACAGCTCAGAGTTTCATTGACAAACATGGACTTCACGAGATTTTTACTGGGTATTTTTTTTTTATTTGACATGTAGCAGCTGAGTTAGTGCAGAATCATCTGTTTAAGGTTACACTATGTGGTTGATATGAGTCTAATTAGGCCCGCAGAATTTATACTGCATGTAGACATGTTGCCCAAAATGCCTCACACGCCTCACACTGCTTGTGTGACACGTGCGCAGTGCTTTAGTCACGCACCAACGCTTCTCTACATCGCTTGAGCAATTTGCATGCGATGCGTCCAATGTACACATACCTTTACTTTGCCATAGCCTGATTGATCAGCCAGTTTCACTTTGTAGAAACTGTCTGACCTCGCAGCATTAGGATTCGTTCGTTCAACAGTAGGCAGGTACTTTTTTTATTTAACCAATTGCTGCTATTTGGTTGTGACATATGTAATGCACTGGTAACGGGGCTAACTGGTATATTAACTCTAGTGTCAGATTTTACTGTGTATTTGAGAGGGACTTGTTTAAAAGCACAAATTGGCCTGTTGTAGTTCAAGTTAGGTCAGTTCTATGTGGTCAGATTGCATTAAAACAAAGATCAGATTAAAGTCTAACTTGAGTGACAAAGCTTCAGACAGAGCAGTGCCTACAGTTAGCATCACACCCCCAGGTAATGTTTATGACAAGCTGCAAAGTATCAATTCTGACCATTTTGCATTCAGATATAGCCGTGAACATACCAGGATAAAGCAGAGCACAATGTATGGACAGAAGGTAGATCTTGTTATCCCTCTCCAATCGCGCTGGTCCCTGCTCAGTATTCTGCAGCGCTGCTTCGCCGCCTTGACCCTGCGTCACGCTCAGACACCCGTTCCAGTGACAGCGCGTTCTGCCTGAGCCACTTTGTGTCTGAGGAACAGGCCAGAGCAGGTCCTGAGTACAGGTGGTGTTTGTGATGACACCTCCACGATAGTGCAATCCACAAGACCCAGGACACACCCCCACATGCTATTTTTGTCCTAGCTGAAGACATATGTTAGAAAGTCACACTGTGTAGTCTACCTATAGTGTTGGGAAGTACCGAGAATACTTCATCTGAATACTAATTTTGAGTATCTGTATTCTGGTACAGTCACTCTTTCATTTGGTGGTATTCAGAATCAGTGTTGAGAGTAGCACGTTATAAAAGTAAAGAATTACTGTAATGCATTGCTTTTTGCTGTAATGCAGTAATGTGGCATTACAGGGAAAAAAATAATATTTTACTCTGTACAAATGTCAGTAACGCACGTTACAATGTATTTTTAACCTGGACTGAATTGGTAGGTTTTTCTTTTTTCTTCATACAAATTCTCTAAAACCAGTGCGATATCAGCAGTGGTGAAACGCCATCATTGTTCCAAATGTTGGGGCGCGCCCGCATAGACCGTCGGGTAACCACGGGCGAAAGGACTGGCGCACAACTCTGCGCTCTACGGGGCTAATCGCAGCCGGCGCCTGATCGCTCTTTGTGAACATTCTGCTCCACAGGCTCAGGATTCTCTCTGGGGCGGTCCTAGATTCCATGTCCTAGTCCAAGATTAGTCCTGGTTCAGTCCTTGGTATAGTCTTGGTTCAACTCTGGTTCAGTTCTGGTTTAGTCCTGGTTTAGTCCTGGTTTAGTCCTGGGTTCAGCTCTGGTTCAGCTCTGGTTCAGCTCTGGTTCAGCTCTGGTTCAGTCCTGGTTTGGTCCTGGTTTAGACTTGGTTGAGTCCTCCTGGTTCAGCTCTGGTTCAGCTCTGGTTCAGTCCATATACGGTGCAAAAGTTCAGCATCTTCGCTCACTGATTGTTATTTGACAATCAGCGACACTTATTTTGGTGAGAGCAACTTAAAAGTGCTGCAATAGTTGTGCAATGCCTTACATTTTAAACACAGTAATATTGTAATGTAACGAATTACTTATTTTTACGTTTGGAAGTAACTTGCCCAACAGTGTTCAGAGTAGAGTTACTTTTCTAAAATCTAAGGAATACATTATAGTAATTGATCATGTAATTTAAGCTGCAAACTGCACATAATTGGCGGAAAAACAGACTCTCTGGTCTTGTGCTGAGTGCAGGTGTGATTTTTGCATCTCCAATTAGTGACAGGAAATGTTTTCAAAAGGAGCAACAAATAAAGCTGTAGTTAATCCGTAATACATTTTCTTTTTTGCTTTTTCCATGACAAGTTTGATTCGATTTGCAATTTGTGCTTTGATAGTAGGATTTTGTTGAAAGTTCATTTTTTAACGCAACACACTCAATAGCATTAACATTTGAGTGAAGATGCTGAACTATTAAACAAATCTTATGCTTTTCAGAACATGTTTTTAAATGGATAGTCATTTAGGTTGGCAAAATAATTGTACTACTCAAATTATGATTTTCGATTTGATGGAAAACTACCTCACAGCCTTGAATGTATTTGATGTAAATGGATGTTGTGTGATCGAGTGTGTGGGTAGTGGTTGATCTCGTCTTTCTGAGAATTCAACATCTGAAGAACTCGTTGTACGCTTGTTAGTGGTCCTGCCAGTGAACAAATCCTCAAATCACACAGGCCATCTAAAGCTGGGGTCTCCAACCTTTTTCTCCAGAGAGCTATTTGTGCACAACAAAAGTGGAACAACAAACGTCGTAGAGAGCTTTTCCTTTTAACAGTCAATGAGTCTTACTGTGTAACAGCAATGGCAAGACTAAAAAGGTAGTCAGAAAGTTACACAGTGGTGCTTTAACTGTGGGGTAGTATTTGTGGATTCCATTGTGTGCCTTTAGAAATCCTATGAAGTCATACTGTAAATAGAGAGAAGAGGGTTTTTTATGAATGAATGTGAGCCAGCTGTATAGGATAAGAGTACTGAATGTTCGGATTAAGCGCTGCTGGAAGGAGCTTTTTCCCATGTCCTTTATGTTTCCTTTCTAAAGCTCCTTACACCCTCTTTCCTGATGTATTCAGTCCATGTGAGGGGTCTGCTCCAGTGGGATTGCGATGTTTGAACATATTCACCACAGTGCCCACCAGTGACCAGTCAAGAGGTATTTTTAGACTCCGCTCGACCTCGGGTGAAATTCTGCATTGGCTTGCTCGGAGTGTGACAGATTTGGTGCAGGACTTTTCCCACCGTGAATGCCCATCCGAGCCTCTGCACACTTTCTGATTCCATTAAGAACCATGAAAACAGAACATCCGGTACTTGATCCACTCCTGAGTCACTTCTCTTTCTTCTCCGCAGCCATGGAGGAGCTGGATGGAGACGACGTGAGAGTATCCTCTAGAGGGCGTCTTGCTGAGAGAGATATTGTACAGGTACTCGTCATAATTCTGTTGTACACATCCTGCCGACAATGCCAATATGCGGTGGCAGTCTCCCGGGGACTTACATCACAACACACAAACTCCTCGGAGCTTGGCCTATAAAAAGCCACATTGTTGTAGTCAGCTCTCTGCCACACTGTATGCAGAAGAAGACAAAGGCCAAAATGCCAGGTTCAATATAGGTTAATCTGTGTTTTAACATGGTGGGTGGGGTCAGAAAGGGTAAGTTCTCATAATCGCATTACCATTTTATTATAAGGTCCATGGAACTCTAGGGTCATAACCTAAAACAAGCATACAAGGACGCAGAGTGACCAGGTATACCAGGAGTTTCAAAGCACACAGGAGTATTAAAGGAGCTATATTACTACATTTTCTGATATATGTTACAGTGTCTCATAATGTTATGTTATAGAGTAGTTCCCTTAAACGGAAAACACTATTCCACCTTGTGATCTAAATACAGAAAGTGCTCCTCTGTGTTTTTAACCTCCACACACCTTCACTAGAATCATTTGGATAATTTCAGACCTGGAATTATCAATCTCTGATGAACAAAAGGTAAAAAAGTAGTGGTTAACATGAAAACTACCACTACATAAGATTCACAAAGTTGAACAGAGCATTTTGTGCTTTGGAGATGTAGACAGGCTAATAATCAAAAGATTACTCAAAAAAGTGTGACTGAAACAAAACACAACTCCAGGTATTTTTTTTTTTTTTGATGAGGAAACATTGTAACATGTCATAAAACTCACAAGAGCCAATTTTGTGTAATATTAAGGTTTTGCGTGTACATCACAAAAACACGTAACCTGTTGTTTATGCTGCAATATTGGTCAATCTGTCTATCTGGAACAATGTATAGTATTTGTGTGCGATATAATAAGACGGACGTGCTGTGCAGTCCTCACGGAATCCCCTCTCCCGTCCTCACTTTCACAGAATCCCACCCGCCCCGGTGCTCACTTTCGCCGGCACGGAATCTCCCCCTCAATTTCCAGCGCCCGGGGTAGATACACTTCTGGTTTTGACCCCCATTCTCCTTACCCTGGCTGTTATCAGGAACAAATGTGATGGCTTGGTGATCAACAAAGATCTCACGCATCCCGCTGCAAAATATTTATAAGCCTCTAAAACATTGTAACTTTTCCGTTCTTGGTTGGTGTAGGACGATGTAGAATGAATTAAGTACTTATAAATATCTGGATATTGGAGGTTGGGCACAGAGTGGGCATTGATTGGACTGATAAAGCGGTCCATTGGAATTAAATAGGGATGTATTCCACAACCCAGGAGGATGACTTTAGCATTATATCTTTATCTAATGACAGCTGATCTAATGAGCTGGCAATTTTGGACAGTTTTATGTTTGTGCTGTTTAAAGTAGTCATGATTATATTGTAGTTACTGAATAACACCTTCATGATCAACCTTGACCTCCAGCATGGCCGCCAAAACATTAAATCATGAGATTGCCACATCACACGCAATTAATAAATGAGCATGCCCGATACACTATACATCCGTGCATACAAAGCCTACATAAATGTGTGCTTTCCAAAGGCTTACAAGACGTGTGTGGTCATACAACTGGATGTGAATGTGAAATAGTGTTTAAAATGCAATACAATCTATCCACAACAGAACTATTATTTAAAAAGTAAAATCAGTGGGTCAAAAAGGTTCATCTGCACCAAAGGATAAAGGCTTTCAGGATTTGCCCACAAGATCATTTTTTATCAAATATCAGTACACAGTTCTTTGAAACTCACGACTTTTACAAAACCCTCATCAGCAAAGATAAGACGGATCTGGCAACAATACTGAACATTCATCCCCTAATGCATTTTAAAGAAATGAGGAAGCAAACTGCCTGGCCACAGATAAGAGGATCCCATTGAGTTTGATATTATGCTGGAGTTTGCAAAGACTCCTGATAAGTCTACTCTTTCAACTGCATACGACTACACATCCCTCATTTAAATGCTCCCGAAAGAACAAAATCTGCTGTTGTGATAAGATAAAGGAGAGTGGAATTTACAGTTTTAACTATGTGTATTTTTATTGTAGCAAGATTACTTTTAATTCAGAAGTCTCCTAAGTTTTTATTCCAATACAATTCATTTGTCTGACTCGAATTTCTAAAACCCAAACTGAGGAACTTAGCAAGGACGTTTTTGATTCAGGTTGTGGTGGAGGGTTTGCCGCTTGTTCGTCTCCGTGGTGATGTTATTGCTTTGCCTTGAATGTTCCATAGTATGACATTAAACTTAAATACAATTACAGTTGTTTTTCTTGCTCATAAATTTAACAAAAAACATGCATTCACACAGTAAGCAGGGTAACATCTCCACAGATCTGACTTGTAACTTGGTCTGGTGGAGTTACTTGCATGTTACAGTGGAAACAGTCATGCCAGACAAAGCAACGACATTTCCACGGAGACAACAGATGGCAAACCCTCCGCCACAAATGTTACACAGTGCATCTTTGGCCAAAACCAAATATTTTATTGGAGCAGAGCAGTTTACATCTTTGGGACTTCATTGGTCTTCGAGTGGGCACCCCCTTTCACCGATGTTTCGTCAATTAGCCCACAACGCTTCCGAGGGGCTTGACGTCCTGAAACCACCTCCTCCGTCTCTCTGATCCCACCACTCAACTCTATTGTCCATGTTAATTTGCCTGTAAGGTCACTCAGGGTTTACCTTTCAAATACAATGAAGTCTCATGCAAGTCAATCAAACCGTCTCCTGCACTATTTATTAGTATTGATCCAAATACCACCCACACATTATTCCAGTCTGTGGTTAGTGTACACTCTGTGCTTGTTAGAAAAACTGGAGATTTCCTGGTGCTGGGTGTTATGTCATCATGTTACACAAATGAATCACATCACCTCAATGTGAACTTAGACACAGACTGTCTTAAACTTAAAGATGGATTTTGCAACTTTTCAGGTGGAGAGTCTGTCACCTGTTTGTCTTGATGTTGATGTTGTTGCTTTGTCTAGATTGTTCTATGGTAGAGATTAAGCCTATATCCCAACTATAGGCTACATTACAGGTCAGATCTGTGGAGAGGCAACCCTATTCACAGAGAGAATTATTGTGTTTTTGAGCAATAGATACACCTGTAATGAATAAATGCTAGATAGATGTGTTTAAACATTAAACATTAAACACAAAGCTATAACATCTCCACGGAGACAAGCAGGTGACTGACCCTGATCCAGAAAAGTAACCTTTTTTTAGTTAATTAATTTAGTCATTTACCAAATACCTGCCTAATATCTAGCATCCAAATAGAGAAAAAAAATAATATCGGATGGTAGGACCAATAATTTATAGAGGGGGAATGTAAAAAAGCAAATATAGCTCAGTTGGTAACGTGTTTGTCAACTGATCTTAAGGTTGGCGCTTTAAATTCCACTATCATAAACCTACAGATGAATGGTGTTGTTGTGTCCTTGGGCAAGACACTTAATCCACTTAACCCTCCATTGTTTGCAGACACTGGTGTATGAATGTGTGTGTGAATGGAGGACTGATCTCTTGCCGTAAAGCGCTTTGAGTGATTTGAAGGTGGAAAACATCAATATAAAAATGTAAACATGACCAAGCAGGGCTCCCACAAATGTAATAAACTCCCACAAATTGAATAGGTATTACTCTGGGAAACATGGTGATTATGTTAGTTGTGGAGAATTGTTATAACGTTTGTGGGTTTATTACATTTAGGTTTATTATGTGTGTGGGGCTTACATGCACTATGTCACTATGGCAGGAGGCAGGCTATGTGGAGTCTGCCTCCTGCCTGTCTCCATGGAGATTATTTTATTTTTATTTTATTTTATTTATTCAATATTTTACCAGGTAAGTCAGTTGAGAACGCCCTCTCATTTACAATGGTGACATGGCCAAGAGGCAGAATAAACCAGCACAACCAGAAAACACTCACACACTAATTATAACATGAAACAGTGACTAGAGATATAAGACAGTGAAACATTTGCAGATTAAAGATATAAAAGTGTTAAAAACATGTGCAATTATCCTGTAAAATACTCTGGATGGAGTTTTTAAAAGTGGACAGAGGTAAACACAAACTAAGTTTTAAAGTCTGTTGAAGGTGGTTCCAGTCACTTGGTGCAGAAAACTGAAATGAGGAATGAAAGTGAGATGTTACTTATTTGATTGCTGCACAGTATGGCTTTCATTCACTCTTATTTGTCTTCATGGAGACCCGCAGGTGATACCATCAAGCCAAGATACAGGTCACATCTGTGGAGCGTTCTGTCCACTTGCCGTAAGAGTAGATGCTTTTCGATGTACTTTTAAGCAATAAAAACACATATAATTCCATATGTATTTTAAGTATATATGTGATATTTGTAATGCTATACGGTGGAATATTTACCTGTACTGGTAGAGCTGTGAAAGTTCAATTGTCAAAAATGAGAATAGAAAGACAGAATCCAATATTAACTTAAAATACTTAAATACTGTTAATAAAGCTGTTTTGTTTTATGATTTAATGCAGTTGAAATTCAAGATTCTCCACCGGTCAGCTGCACACCCACATAAAAATACTGTGAAATATATGTCAGGATTTTAATTTGGAGCAAGCCGTATTACCAAACATAGCTTTCAACTGGCCTCATTAACAACCATACACATATGCACATGTTCAAGACCCCATATGTCCAATTAGCCTTGGAGCAGAGATTAATGAATATATACACAGCCACTTTTAAGGGTGACGCTACTATTCTTAACCCTCTTGAAAATATTGAGTATATCACTTTAAAAATCAACCTTCAAAGTTCAGCATAAATTAGAATCTGTTTGCATACATTGCCTGTTTTTGTCTAAAATTATGCCTTTGGTTTAATTGCCAGGAAAAGTCAAGAACAAGAATTATGATAATTTATGTCAAAGCAACCTGTTCTACACACCTACTTTGATTCACATTGAGGGAGCTGCTCACTTTTATTGCAGAATCAGAAACTTAATAAATTATTAGTTCAAAAATAGTGTTAATTGTGCTCATAATTTGTTAATGCAGCCTCTGAAAACACTACTCCAAAAAGTAAATGGAAACATATGAAAAAAATAATAATAATAGTAATAATAATACTTGTGAACTAGATATTTTGAACAGATATATATATATTTTTTATATTTGTTTGTTTGTGTACCAAAGATGATTTAATTTAATATACCTACTGTATGTTTGGGTTTAATTCGGAATATACCCTGATGCAACTAATAGACTATTTCAACCTCGTCATACTAGTCATGTTATAGGCCAAACTTTCTCAAAAACAACTTTCTCAAACTTTTCACACCAAGTACCACCTAAGAAGATACAGTATTTGGCTTTTTAAATACCTCCAGATCTAAACCCAGACTTTAGCAGGGAAAATTTAGGGCTAAATCAGGTCTAAAATGAGACTAAACCATGAATTAAGTAGTTTTTTATTATGTAAAACGGACTCTCAAACTCTTTAAGTCATATTAGAATGCTGTTACTTCATCAAACACATACCTGGAGTTGTGTTTTGTTTCATTCACACATGTTTGAGTAATCCTTTATTATTAGTCTGTCTACATCTCTTTAGCTCAAGATGCTCTGTTCCACCTTGTGATATCATTCAGTGGCAGTTTTCAAGTTAACAGCTCCTTTTACCTTTTGTTTAGTTGATATTGGCAATTTCAGGGCTGAAATCATCCAAATGATTCTCGTGAAGGTATGTGGAGTTTAAATTCACAGATGAGCACTTATTATATTACCACATGACATCTTAAAGAGGAGTGTTTCCCATTTTAGAGAAGAACACAGTGTAAATGTACCTTTTAAATATGTTTTTTATGCTTTTTAAATGTTTTTGATGACAGCAACATAACATAGATAAGAAAATAGCGTAATATGGGCTCTTTAAATAATGAAATACCTAAAAAGGACAAACCATTTATAAATGTGTCTACGAATAAAACATATAATCACAGGGTGCCACTTTCCACTAGGGGCAACCACCTCTTAGACCTCTATGCTATGTATGTAAACCAAGTTCAGTTGTTACCATGGAGACAAAAAAGACCCAAAAAATGATGTCCCCTTTAGACAGTCAGTAAATCTAATGTGTACTGCTTCTTTTACAGTTTGTTCCGTTCAGAGACTACATCGACCGATCAGGAAACCAGGTCCTGAGCATGGCGCGTTTGGCTAAAGATGTCCTGGCCGAGATCCCCGACCAGCTGCTGTCCTTCATGAAGAGCCGAGGAATCGAACCGAGACCCGCGATGTCCACGCCCCCCATGCCCGAGCTGCACCCCCACATGTGACCGTGTACCCGTTCACCTGCAGGCCCCTTACCTCCTGCTCTTCTCCCCTGTACACAGCCCCTCTGCTCAGCTTCTGATGGACCTGAGCTGGAGCAGATGAGTGAAGCATTACTATGAACCACTGTCTGTGTTTAGCGTAGGACAAACGGAGCAACTGATGAACTTTTTCACCCTTCTGTGATCAGAGTGGTACTTCCTGGGTCACTGTGGCATGGTTTGGTTCTGAAAACTTGTAGCTGAGAGTAGTAACTGCACAGTATACAGTGACACCAGTGCACCAAAAGTTAGGTTTATTAAATTAAAGCAAAAATTCAGAATTTTCACGTTTAAAATTCGCACAAATGTAAAATCAAAATCATTTTATATCCAAGAAGGAACATTTTTGAACCTGCAACCGTACTCATTTCAGTATTTCCTTCCTTTTAGATCAAACGTTTTCTTTATCTTGGGTTGGGTATCATTTAAAACAATATCACTATAGTACAAAAAAGTATATGTACTACCAAAAAAATCTGTGTACTCCACTGGTTAGTGGAACCTGCAACCCTACTCATTTCAGTATTTCTTTCCTCTTAAAGTTTTCTTTATCTTGGGTTGCATACCATTTTAAAACATACCATTATAGTACAAAAAAGTACAAAAACTAGCACTGTTAGTATTTTTTTTTTCTATTGATAGCAAGCTTTGACGCTTAGTGCTCCTGGGAGAACACTATAGAAAGTTACATAGTGTCTTCACAATTGATATGTGTGATATTCAAGGCCGTTTGTCCCTTAAGAAATAGTATAAAGGAATTCATAAACACTATTATTTTATCTTTGGAATGATTAATACAGGAATAAGTATCGTTTAGAGATGGACCAACTTTTTTCATGTCCGATGCCGATACTGAGCTCTGGATTATCTCCCCCCAAATTCGGTCATTTACAATTTTTTATACTCACTCACATCTCTTTTTTACCACAGACTTATAAGAGAGCTGTGTAGTCATGTTTTGCTCAGTTGTTTCTTCACATTAAAGTGTTAAAATAAAGCTTTTTAGGCAGCAAATCTACTAAAAACTAAATATTGGCCTATGCTAGAGATTTAAGACCGATAGCTAGAGTTCAAATATACTGCAGTTTTGTTAATTTTATTGTTCTATATTGTTTGAATACTGATAAAATATGTACGGGTACCAAAGAAAAATGAAAGATACCCAGATGTTGTTTTATCCAATCCTACTAATCCTGAAATTGTGAAGAAATCCGTGTGTCACTGTTTACATTGCATAGAAACCAAACTACGCCATACTAACCAGACCCGTACCACCCCACTGGAGGGATGTGAGGCTTGTTTTGTCCAGACAGAAGTTCTCCACTTGTCCTTGAAGGCTCACTTTGGCAGCAGGCCTAGGAAGTGCGGGACATTACCTTTAATTGAAGTGGAAGCCCCAGACTCAGCCTAATCCAGCCTCTATCTGGTGGTCCGGGTGTATTTTTAGATCCCTCGCAGTAATTCACTGAGTAATTGGTCAGTGAGGGGACAGGTGTTTGATTTATTCTTCTGATAGTCATTATAGTGGAGATAATATGAGCAAAGCACTGCCAAATGCCAGGCTAATTTAATATAGACTGGCAACAATTAGTCTAATCCAAACAGATGAATGAGTCACAAGAGGAGGGTTTATGGAGATGTACGTACGGCGGCCCGGAAGGCTCATAAAACGTCACAACATCAACAGAAATGCCCATTCCCATTACAATAATTGGTCTAGTTTCTGTGGTTTGATTATACAGTTTTAGATGGAGTGAAATATGAATTCTAATGGTCCTGTGAAAAAAATGTTACCATAGCAGCACCAACATTGTTTTTATGAACACGGCAAAAAACTAAATCTGGTCAAGTTAAAATGACTTGAATTAAGAAAGTTTTGTCATGATTTGAGAAACTTTCACTTGACAAGTAAAATAATCTGTCACTGGAATAAGACTTTTTGTACTTAATATTATGAAAATACATCTTGCTACACTTGAAATAAGAAAAACAACAACTTTTTGCACTAAAACCAAATCGAATGTTGCTTCAATTAAGAAAAACACACTTATTCCATTGGTACATCATTTGACTTGTCAAGTTGAATCGACTCAAATAAAGTAAAATGTTCTTAATTTAAGTCATTTTTATCTTACCTAGATATTGTTTTTTTTTTCCAGTGAAGTTTCCATTCTGCTTCAATTTGTGAGTTTGGCTGTGGTCAGGATTAATCGATGATAATTCAGGTCACAACATAATTGTAAAAAACAAGAATTAATACACAAAATAAGTACTGTATTTTCCAGACTAAAAATGCGCAGTGAAGAAGAGAGACCAGGAACCGACATTTCATCTTCAAAGGCAAGTTATAATAACAACAGAATAGAGAACAACAGACTGAATAGGCATTGATATGAACAGTTATTCAGATAACTAGAGCATAAACAACATAACATAAATTTACCAAACTCACGATCTCTACAAATCACTAAATCCATTGAAGTCTTCATCCTCAGTGTCACTTCGGTGCGACCTGCAGAGATAAACCATAGATCCATGAGGTAAACAGAGCGTCGCTTTCTCTTCTGCGTAGCTGTTGTCAGACTCAGCATCATTTCCAGTTAGAATTATTCCGGCCTTTCTGAATCCCGGCAGGATGGTTTCAGTTGAAGTCCAGGCTTTGTCGATTCATCCAGTGACTTCCAGGAAAGTTACATGGTGCACCCGCCCGGTTGCCGTGAGGCTGTGTTCTCCATCCCTGCTTTCTACCAGTCCCTCACAAGTTTCTTGCTCACTCCAAACTTTTTTCTGCTGCTCAATTACCATTTTCGGCTGAATATTTCACTATTTGCAGCAGGACAGCGGCTTTTTCTGCAGGAGGCATGCACAGTAGAGCACGAAGTGACAGTGGTACAGGAGTAATAGTAGTACTAGATACTGACACACAAACCTAGAGCGCCCTCTCGCGGCTGTCAGTGTGAAAATTATAATATATAAGTCGCACCAGAGTATAAGTCGCAGGACCCCCCAAACCATGAAAAAAGTGTGACTTATAGTCTGAAAAATATGGTAAATTATTTTGAAAATGCATAGAAAAAAACAGTATCAAGACAAAACAAAAGCATACTGATAAAGACGATTCATAATCCTTATATATACAAGGAGTTAAACACTGTACATGTTTGAAAAGCACTGGGTGGAAGAACAAATTTATTCTCATCCCTTTTCCCCATTGTTGAATATAATATTTTATGCATTCTGTTTCCTTTTTCTTTGATCAACATATGTATAATTTGACATTCAAACATTCAATTTCAGTCTTTTCTTTTCTTTTTATGTGGCTGTTTATGGCACACCCACATTCCGAAAGTTTTGTTTATTGTATTACTTTGCAAAGCTGGTCACGTACTCTGATCCAGTTATTAGTGACTGAGAATGAGTCAGTTTAATTTCTTCTCCCAGTGATCATCACACTGCAATTTGATAGTGTAACGTCCATAGTCATTATTTTGTCAAATCAAAGAATTTCATCACGGATAGTTTTTCTTTTATAGTGTGTACAAAAATGTCCTTGGAACTACTCCGCAAATGATTATATTAGTCACAAAATGAGTTGTATTTTGGGAAGTCAATCATGCTGAAAAATGAGCTTCCAAAATTATTTCACAGTTTTAAAACCAGTGGTGAAAGAAGTATTTGATTTTGTTACTTAAGTAAAAGTATCACATGAATCATAAATGGACTTAAGTAAAAGTGTTAAAGCACCCTTTAAAAATTTACTTAAAGAGTAAAAAGTAAAAGTATTTTGTGCTGATTTTGAGATCTAATAAAGCTTCAAATGTACCGATTTTGATAAAGATTTGAGGTGAATTTTGTTCAACTAAAACAACTAAGTCTGTCATTTTTTCCTAACGTTTCTTATTTTTGTTTGCTCAAACTACTGACATGATAAAATAAACTCCCCAGCTTTTTCAGCAGGTCTCAAACTATAATAAAAAATACTTTTACTTTTCCGCCCTGTTCAAAAATGTAGTGGAGTAGAAAGTAAAAAGTATACTTTACAACTTTGACTTAAATTTCCACCACTGCTTAAAACTACTGACTATATTAAAACTAAATTTATTCTTCAGCGCCGGAGGAGTCGGGTCAAAGGTCATTGTGCATCAATATTTAAACATTTCTTCATTACTCTGAGCAGAACTGTAGATATAGATCTTTGACCTAAAGTTTTAAAGGTCCAGACCAGCCCAAACAAACGCTCTGAATTCATCGCATATTTACATTTAACAAGGTTTGCTCAAACGGCCTGCCAGACTATTAAATAAATGTCAGACATCAGAATCTCTTGCCCTGTCCGTCGGCAACATTAGTCCCCAGGAAACCCAGACCAATACTTTTAATGGAACTCTCTTTAAATTTGCCGTTATTTATGTCGTGACTTTTGTTATTATTACACTGATCCTCCTTGGCCGCCGTACATTATGCGATCCACGTTGGCGTTATAGGTGTAGGGATTCCTCTCACGTGTTCATTACTGCCAGTCAAACTCCCAGCCCCCCCCAACCCCCACCCTGTGCTGCACCGCGGGGGGCCGGGCTGGGTGCAGAAGGTCCCCCCTGCCGTGAGAGAAATGCCAGTCTCGCCGGCAACACTGCGGGGAGAGGGAGGGTGCCAAAGGAAGGAAGAGGAAGAGAGGAGGGGGGGATGGAGAAGAAAGGGCGAGGGAACAGCCAAGGACAAGTGGAACCTTCTTAACTGGGCTGGGTTAAGACGATAGGCTCAATCACAAAGCTGGAAAAGATGAGAGTTGCTTTTGACAAGTCTTTAGTGAGCTTTTAGTGCGATAGTGCGAGATAAAAAGAAAATAGACTTAAGATACTTGGTTGGAAGTTTGCTTATATTAATCAAGAAAAATACTGATTAAAAGCTGCATAATGCTATCTACTCAGAATAATTGTGACTAAATACTAAAATGCTTTTGATTC